GTGATTTTTTTTTTATATATATATATATATATATATATATATATATATATATATATATATATATAAATTGGCTTTAAAAATATATATAATTTATGAACAAAACATTAACCACATACCTGCATTTGCTAATTTGGCAAAAAGACTCACTGAAAAATATGACCGTGTTAAGGGTGAGCCAACGCAGATCAGTCAAACAGATACTCTGTACATAGAAATATAAAATTAAAATATAGCACTTACAGAATATACACAGGTTTAACAGCTGGATCATCAGTTCATGTGCTCAAGCTGATACAGCAATACCAGTTAGGACTATCAGGTCTTCATGTGACATCTAGCATGAGAATGTCATAGTCTAAAAAAAAACACACAAACCAGATGCACGATTGCCATTTTTGCATACAGGTTTCTATTTTCCAGCCAAACTCTGTGAAGGCTCTCTGCATGACTGATTTCCCCAGGCTTTCTTCAGCAACCATCAATTCCACTTTTATATAATTTATTTATAACTATATTAAAGCACAATTTAGAACAGACCTCATCGGTGTATAAAGAAGAATACAGGAAAACATAAAATGCTGTTGTGTTATGCTTAGTGACAAATACTATGGTTATGAAACTGTCCAATATATGCATGGACCATTGAGCAAGCGAATGAAAGGAAACAGATGGCAGATCTTCTCACTTGCAGGCTTTAGAACATATTTCGAACGGCACTTTACCTGTATATGAGCAAAGTCATTCTGACATTTTAAAATATGTCTGTATTATATGTTCTGAATTCACACACAGGCCTTTTTTTAATGATCTGAAACGCTGCTAAAAATACAAGAATGGATTCAAACTTAATTTGAATCACCGTATTGACCAAAAACAACAACAAACTCTGTGTCATGGTAAATTTGTGTTTTATTAACATGTAGAGCTGCAGTTAAAAGTTCAAATTCAATCTGTGACTCATGCAAAGGACCAATCACAGAAGAATCTTTGCGAATCCTGGGTGTAATAAAAGTCAGAGAAACAATTAAATACATAAAAGATCAAATATATTATAAATCAACCTACACTGTCAAAAAAAAAATGTGCAGAAATTGTAGCTTTCTGGGTATGACAGCTTGTCACTGGGACAGTACCCTTAATAGGGACAACTTTAAAATAAGGTACAAAGACATAACACAACACATTTTTTAAGAGTGTCTTAAAACTCTAAAAATAAATGTTGATCAATCACGATAGAACAAGATAGAAAAGATTTTAACAGAAGCTGTACAAATCAGTAATGTCCATTAGTTGGAGGTTCCTGGTGTGACCATGTTCGTGTCTGGACTCGTGTTGAGATCTAAAGCAGACAGGGAATCATCAAGTGCCCCAGAAGGCGAGTCCTCTTTGGCTAACAAGTTATTCTTGCGGAGCTGACAGGCTTGCTGGTACGGAGGCCGAATTGGAGGTTGGGTGGGTGGTAAATACTGGTACTCTTTACTAGAATCAAGCTGTTTGAGAATAAAGCAAAACATGAATTAGGTCAGACTACTCATTCATAAACACATATGCATGATTTGAAAGCAGCTGATTAGTACCTGAAGCGGGTAAGTTCTGTCTGAATCAAAGGCACTAAGATCTCCACAAGCAAGGAAAGGAACTATTATTCGGTTTGGCCCCTCTAGCTGGTTGAAGTCAACATCTGGATGGGAAGGAGGACATGGGCATATACATAGACACTTACAATATAAAATTTGAATAAATGTCATATATAGATGAGCGCAAACAAACTTGAAAGCACTTTTTTGGTATTGGAGTATTGGAACAAGTTACTATAAGAGTGATCCAGTAAAGGGTTGGACATGTTGGGGACGTAGCCTTCAGGTGGAGAGTAATTCTGACACACCACAAATGCCTCTGAAGTGCGAACACACACACAAAAACATTAGTTCATGTATGAAAAAGTACAATATTCCCAAAAAAGTTTTACATTCCCTTTTTTTATAAAAATGAAATTCTCACCTATGCTAGAGTTGCGGCTGCTGCGTGGTTTGGCACAGGTTACAGAGCTGAAGAAGATCTTGAGCTGGGAGTACAGCAGTGTCACATCTTTTCCCCTGAAGATCTACACAGAAGAAAGACATTGGAGTTCAGGTGAGATTGAAGTAAACATTTCTTACCTAAAACAGATTTCATAATCTTGTACTGACAACTTGACAAAGTAACTAAGAGTATGAATGACAATGGGATGGCTTACTTTTGCAACAAAGTTGCCACCTGGTTTGAGAACATGTGTGGTGATATTGAGAGCCTGTCAATATGAAAACAAAAAACCTTCAGCAAAACCTTCAACAAGCAGTCTTGCACTTACATGGTAAATCAAAAACTATATTTACTATGAGTGTTGTCATGATACCAACATTTCAGTAATCAAAACTACTATTTAACTATTAAAACAATTAAATATAATTAAACGAGTCATTATTGCTATTATTAATAATAGCATTATTATTAATGCTATTAATAATTATAAGTAAATTACACAAAACATTAGCATATATGTTTTCTGATTGGCCATTGTGTTTACACAACACTTCTAAAGCATTTATTATTTTTAGTTCATGTTAATTTTAACATTTTATCAAAAGTTTATCGGTTTATATTATTTAATGGAACTAACATGAAATAATGTAAATTTGTATTTTATTATATTTCGTATTTTTAACTAACATTAACAAAGAATTAATAAATACTGCAATTTCTCAGTGTTATTTATTGTTTATTTACTAAAATTAACTTATGGGACCTTATAGTAAAGTGTTAACAAAATGATAAGATTAAAGGAAAATATAGCAATACATACCGCCAGCAGGAGCTGTGCCTGAATGTACTCATCTACATCATGAAGACCAGTAACTATACAGGGAAACAAACAAAAAAAACCTTCAAGATTTTGCTACATCGCAATTTTGCTACATCGCAAATCGACCAGCTAGAAAGGAACATCAAATGTTCAAAAGAAAAAAAACACAAGGTTATTTCTCACCATCTGGGGCGCCATCACATACGACCAAGTCTGCAGACTGTCCTTCAAAATGTCGAATAATCTCCTGTGCTGTAGAAATCTATAGCACAATCATATAGTTGGTATGGTTGAATATCTACTTTGCTTGACTCAAAAAGACTTACTAAAAGAAATGAAAATATTCACACAAATAAAAAAGTATGTTTAAAGCAAAACATTGTTTTTTCATGCACTGATTAATTTTGGGCTAATAATGATGTCTTATTTCAGACTAGTGGAAAGAAAACATCCGAACATCCACTGAAGTGTTTATTTTTTTGCATTTCATCTATTTGCATCTGTAGATTTATATTGCAATACATATCTTTAAAAGCGGTTTCCTCAAAATGAGTTTTTCTCATGCACTGAGCCACAAATCTTCACATAAGAAGTCAGTGATATCCAAGATACCCTCTGTAAAAACCTACTCTAACGTGTTCAAATGAAACAAGAACTTTGAACCTGGCTTAATCCAATGTTTATATTTTTGTTCTGGATATGTATGCAAACAAGTGCATATTTAATGCATAATTTGCATAATTAAACAACATTGAAGAAAGCTTGTAATACAGAAAATGTTTGCAATTCTTCATGTAATCGATCAGCTGGGGAAGTCTATCTATATGATATTTTTTAACCCTACTCACCTGGAGTCTTGCTTTAAAAATGTGCAGATAGATGCTATAATAACACAATACATATTAAAATGCTATAATGATGACTTGCTAAAAAAAAGCACTGCACCTTGGTGATGTCTCCTTGAATTTGTGTGACACCTGGCAAAGGGGCCATTGCTTGCAGGTCAACTGCCACAATCTTGACCTCTTCACACTTGTCTTTTCCACTGAAACAGGACAGAAAAAGGTGAAGTGCCAATTAGGAGTCAACAAGATTTGACTTAACAGTATCTGTATGTGTACTTTGCATTTTATAGTGCACAACCGATCAAGTGCATTCCGTGCATTTTGCATTTAACCAACCGGAGCTTGCGGCTCAGGACTTGACTCCAGCTGCCAGGTGCCGCACACAGGTCCACAGCACGACTGACACCTGTATGAAGGACATGAACAGTCGTTTGAACATAAAAGCCTGCTTTGATGCTATCTATGTAGGCAGTTCACAAGCTTTCGAGACATATCCTATGATGACTCAACCACTATCCCATGCAGATTGAAGCACAATGAAGCTCTTACCTTTAAAAAGGTTGAACTCCTCATCCAGCTGCAGGAGTTTGAAGGCGCTTCTCGCTCTCCAGCCCTCCTCCTTCGCAAGCCTGTAGTATATATCTCGTTTGTCTTTGGATGAGCGCCCCATTTTACCTTCACTCACTTATTCTGTAGACAAACAATGACACAATTTTGCCGCAGCTGGATGTTTTCGCCGCAATGTGACACTTCTTCTTCTTACTTGTTGCAGTCAGAGAAACGTGAGACAACACTGACACCCACTGGAGATGAGGTGGTATTACACGTGATGCTTGTCTGTATGATCGCATGGTTACAATTCTAGTGCTTCTAGATTATGAACATTAGGCATTTAACGTCCATCAACACAAATTTTGAGCTGAATTATAAGCATATAGTCTGTGACAGACGCATCGTGAACTTTCCAATGTAGTCACAGTTCCTACAAAAAATATTATGCTAGAGTTATTGCATGGTAAAAGACCCAGGATTAGAGATATCACTTTTTTAACTGAATAAACATTAACATTATGCATGCACTTTCGTTTAGTTGCAAATATTGAACATTATACAGTTATGCATACAAAAAAACAAACAAGAAAAAAGTTAAAAAAGTAGGCTGCAAAAATTAATAATTAAAAGTGAAAAGGGGGTAGTAAAAAATCAGAAAATGGGTACAGTAGTTTTAGCCCACAGATTTTTAAAGGATTCATAGCTTTCTTATTCTAATACTGTCTCTGGCTTAATTTAGTCAACGTACATACAAACCATAAAACTGAGTTTGAATTCGAAATTATTTGTTCAAAAATAATAAATGAATAATTCAGTAAATTATTTTTTAAGTAATTTAAATAAATAAAAGCATTTTTCATCTTCATAATAATAATCAATGAAGCCAAAAAAAAAAACATTTTGAGAGAGTGAGAGAGGTCTGCATTTGGCTGTTTGGAGCTCCAGAGGGCAAAAGCTCACTCAAAGGAAGGTAGAGTGACATTCCTTTTAGACGGACACATTTACACTGTCAGCCAGAAGAAAACTTACTGAAATGTACTTTTCCTGCTTTCAGATTTGATTCTAAACTGAATACATTTCATCTGACCTACATCTAAACACTTGAACTGGTGATTTCTGCACCACTAGCATCACCAAAAAGGCTTATAAAACATTCTGCCCTTGCCATTGGTCAGACAAACAGATAGTCCCGCCCCAAACTCACGCCATTGGTTGAGCTGATATTCACGTGTCAGGCTGGTCAAACAAACCAATTTTTTACTCATTATTACTAGGGGAATCAATCTATGAATACACTTCTTGAATAAAAAAATATGTGTAAAATTCTATAAACTACCATTCAAAACTTTGTGATTTTTTAATGTCATTTTTCAACCTAACCTTTGGTTTCATGATAATTATTACAGAAAATACAGTTTAATTACGATTTTCTGGATAAGTTGAATGGTTTAAAGGAGATTTCTTTAACCTTATAATGTCTAATTGGAGCATTCCATAGGGATACCATCAAATAAACGAAACAAACTTCACCTACGTTTTGAATATATGTATATTTTGTATATATTTATGCAAGCTGTGTATACATGTGTAAATATTTTAAATGGATATATATTTGTTCATTTTCTAGACAGATACCTTATGCTGTATAAATAAAAAATAAAATGTGAAACTATTTCATTTATTCATTCATGTTTTTATTAATAAGGACAATGCACATTGATCTTTGTATATAATATTAGAATTTTATAGTATATTAATATTGTTATATAAATGTTCCACCAGTGTCAATAGTGTCCCTAAAATGTACATTTAAACCAAAGGGGCCATTTTACACAGAACCCGTTTTAGTCAGGGGGAAAAAATGTTTGGAAAACATTAAAGGTTTATCCACAGCACACCTCTTTTAGCTCATTTAATAAAAATAAAAATAATTCATTACATTTATGTAGCGCTTTTCTAGGCACTCAAAGCGCTTTACATTGTCAGGGGGTATCTCCTCATCCACCACCAGTGTGCAGCATCCACCTGGATGATGCAACAGCAGCAGCCATAGTGCGCCAGAACGCCCACCACACACCAGCTTATTGGTGGAGAGGAGACAGTGTGATGAAGCCAATCAGCAGATATGGGGATTGTTAGGATGCCATGATGATCAGAGGCCAATGGGCAAATTTGGCCAGGATGCCAAGGTCACACCTCTACTATTTTCGAAAGACTAGGATTTTTAATGACCACAGAGAGTCAGGACCTCGGTTTAACGTCTCATGCGAAGGACGGTGCTTGTTGAAAGTATAGTGTCCCCTTCACTACACTGGGGTGTTAGGACCCACACAGACCACAGGGTGAGCACCCCCTGCTGGCCTCACTAACACCTCTTCCAGCAGCAACCTAGTTTTCCCAGGAGATCTCTCATCCAGGTACTGACCAGGCTCAGCCCTGCTTAGCTTCAGTGGGCAACCAGTCTTGGGCTACAGGGTGATATGACTGCCAATGATTTGCAATGGTTGGCACTTTTTAATGAATACACATTAGTATTATAATTGCTTTATGCATTGTGTATAAAAAAAATTAATTAAATAATTTATTACTTTGCAATTTTATTTATGATCCACTCAGACACGTAGAAGTGCAGACACAGTCTGCTCAAGCCCGGTTCTCGCGATATTCCTCGAGGTTTCCGGTGTTGTGAATGTGACTGGTAAAGATGGCGGTCAGCATCCGAGGCCGTCCTATCCGAAGTATACGGATGCGAGGTGAGATTAAGTTTACTCTGCTCGGCCGATTGACAGATCCATCCGAATAATATGATGCAGTCTTCATCAGCTACACCTGTCCGAAGCGTCCCTTTCTCAGTGTCTTATTTTATCTTGCATATGCAGGTCGGAATGACAGTGGGGAGGAAAATGTGCCGCTCGATCTCACAAGAGGTAAGTCAGATGAAACTAGCGAACTCCCTAACTAGACAACATTTCTGGTCAGATGAAACTAGTGAACTCCCTTTGGACATCGTGCTTGTTTGGAATGTCAGCCTCGCGGGAACCAAACCCAACTATGATGCCCCAAAATGCTTGCTGCACTAGATTTTGAGACACACAGCCTTAAACTAAGGCAACATGCATCATAGATCCGTTTACAATATATGCTCTTGTATATAACGTTAAGTATGCAATAATTAAAGGTGTTAGAGGTGTCCAATGCTTTTTATTATTATATAATGGTTGCATGATATATGTGTCTCTTCAGTCCAGCATTGCAGGACGGTAGGGTCCAAAGGGTGAGGGACCAAAACAACACTGCTGCAGCAAGAAAGCATGCGCTTTTTCTTTGGTTTTTTCTTTTATTATAATTTTTTACAATAAAATAATATGTCAGCTGATGTCCAATTTAATGCAGCAATTCTTCTAAATAGTTTTTTATAAAACAGACTTTTCATATGTTAACAGTAACATTAGTTAACATGACTAGCAATGAGAAACACTTCTGAAGCATTTATTATTCTTAGTTCATGTTAATTTGAACTTCCAGTAATATATTTTAAAAAGGTATCTATTAATATTGTTGCATTTTTGTATGTTATAATGCAGTTACTAGGGATGCACGATATATCGGCCACCATATCGGTATCGGCCGATAAATGCTCATTTTTTCTGTTATCGGTATCGGCCTGATAAGAAAATTTGGCCGATATCTTAAAGCCGATAAATAATGCATTATTTCCTTCAGAGACACTTCAGATGCGCGCTGTTCGTTTGCAGCCTTTTGTGCAATTGTACGTTGTAATATTGTGTTTATTTGATGTATATCTGATTTATCTCATATAGAATGCGTTTGGTTAAGTTAAAAGAGCGCTTCAGTTTACCAGTGATCATCTTTAGCTCAGCACACGCAGCCCAAACAGCAGTGCACAACATTAATAACTATGATTGGGAATGTCATGTATATAACATTCTAATGAGAACATTATTATAATAAAACGTTGGGAATTCTTTGGGTTTAGTTGCCGTGTTTCAGCGCGTTGTTATGGGAAGAGCGCATCCACAACAGGATCACACATTCTGACTATAGCACGCAAGAACTGCATCATTTTGTACATATATAAGTTGTAATATTATGTTTATGTTGTATTAATATTAATCTCAGGATGCATTTCCTTGAGTTAAATAAGCTGCCAGCAAAACGCTTCAGTTTACCATGTTCATTCAGCTCTTCAGCTTCAGCACGCGCAGCTCAACGGCTGCTATTTAAAACAGTGGTATTAATTTGTTACTTTTTCAAAATCATCGATACATTATTAATAACAACAACCACTTGTATTTTTCTCTTATTATTTTCATCAACAATATGGTTTAGTAATTAAAATCATTTAATTATTGTCCGTGCAGAGGCTATTCCGTTTTATTGATCTATGGCGCATTCATTTTGATTCTTTACATGTGTAATGATGTCCAGTGACTTGTTTGCATTATTTATGCATTATTTTATTTATTTGTAAGACTTTTTTATGACTAAATTTGGTAATGGGAGAGTAAAAATATTTTTAAAACGTACACCGTTCAAACTAGGCTGCTTATGTTGAAGTGTTTGGGATGTGGCTTTTAATGATGAGACCTTTTTTGTAATCAGGCTCTCAAAAAGTATATAACAATTTGGATATAGATTTATCGGCCAACATATCGGTTATCGGCTTTCAAAAATAAAGAATAATCGGTTATCGGTATCGGCCAAAATTTTCATATCGGTGCATCCCTAGCAGTTACATTTTTATTAAATAACAAACAAAATAAACACTAACAAATATGTTGCTTATAACAAAGGTTTTGCTAAATATTTAACTAAAGAGACTTTATTGTCAAGGTTTACCTTTTATTGTAGTAATGCTGGTGATTTTATTTGTCAACGTATCTGCTATTATAGAAATGATATTCATTGTTTGTCATTCTGCAGTGAGATTCATCATCCTGTTAAGTTGTTGGTCTGTCAAATGAGCTGTCAAACTTCCCTGGGATTGACACTATATAGATCATGCTCACTGTACAGCTCAACAAACAATTCCAAATCTTAACTGAAAATTTCACAGTTCACTGTGTACATATATAAATTGATTTATTCTGGGCACAAGATCAGAGTTTTTATTTAGAAATAAGACTGCTGTTAAAGTTGTCTGTCTTTTGGGCTGAACACAAAATCCTGGACAAACTGTGAATTCAGGGGAATCTTGACTCTTGTGATCATAACAAACATGGTTAAGAGCTTTACTTGCGTATTCTTTGCTGTTTTGTTTTAAATTGTAATGGATTTATTTACATGTATTACTAAATATAGCTTTTGGTATTGTTTGTCATAGTGTCTTTGTTGGGGGAAAATAGCTCATTAGCTGTTGCAGGGTCATGATTGTGTCTTTGCTGATAGGTTACCCTTGAGGCTGTTTTCCAATATGACCTCTGTGAGGATGGCCTTTTCTGGATGCTTCCAGAGGTTGTCAAACTGGCTAGATTTTGTAACCCGGGTCAGAAAAGATTGCCTTGGTTTCCTGAGCTCGGATAGTATCAATCCAGTACTTGTATTCCAGTCATGAATTCCTGCTGATGTACACCGTCGTTCAAAAGTTTGGGGTCGATTTTTTTAAAGAAGTCTCTTATGCTCATTAACACTGCATTTATGTGATACAAAATACAGTAATACTGTGAAATATTATAACAATTTAAAAGCGCTTTTTTTCTATTTTAATATACTTTAAAAAGTACTTTATTCCTAAAATGGCAAAGCTGAATTTTGAATTTTCAGAAGACTTCTCCAGTCTTCAGTGTCACAATTTAAAAAAGAAAAAAAAAACGTCTTATTGACCCCAAACCTTTGAATGGCAGACTACCTGTATTTAGACGAGACCTGAGCTTCACTGTTTTTGGTTCCAGTATGAAAGGCAACAGGGAGTCTGTGGAATATTTGTGGATTTTGTTTTGGTACAGATGACTGAACATGTATCCTGTGTGACTGCTGGGGGAAATGAATCGTAAAGAGTGCAGTATTTGTAATATCTTTGAATGTCTGTATTTTATGTAAGCTGGTTTTGCACAATATAAAGCACTAATGTTTGTTTTATTGTACTACCTTTCTAATATGAGAGGACATCAACTGCTAGAGCAAAGACCATTTTCCTATCATTTTTTATTTTATTGTTTGTTGAAAAGAAATATTTGAAAATGAAATATCTGAATTCTCACTGAATGGTTGCCAGGTTTCTTTTTAGATATTCATGTCACAATTTAACAAAAATGTTTATCCTATATTAGATTACTGGTATATGATATATATCCGAATTGTTGCTACATGGATAGGCCTAGTTTGTCTGCAAGTTCTATCTGCACTGGAACTGGTTTTCCTTAACTTTTATAGATTGTACATGGTTATGTCGAGATGTCAGCTCTCTGCTGTTAGTGATTCGCTGTTGGACATTTATCACTAGTTCTTGATGCTTGCTAAGACTTCCTTACAAAACTGAGCACAGGGTGTTATTTATGAAAATTTGTTAAGTGAGATGATGTCAGGAAGTCCCACTGTGTCTAGCAAAAACACTCTGCTTTTGTGTGCTTACTAATTTTACTGCTCTGTGATTGATTCCATCCCATAAAGCACTTGGAAATGGTGCGGTTACTTCTGTCACGCTGTTACAGGCAAAACATTATATCCATTTGTGTTTCCATCCCTGTTTCTCTGATGACCTCACAACTCTTCAATCATCTTTTCTTCCAGACCCTTCCGAGAACATGCGAGAGATCCTCCAGAATGTGGCCAAACAGCAAGGAGTCTCAAATATGCGCAAACTCGGCCACCTAAACAACTTCATCAAGGTTTGTCATCTCAAGAGTGGATCAGGGAATGCTGGGATCAATGTTGTTAGCTGCCTAAATCCCAACGTTTTCTTGCTCTGATGCTGCAGAACAAGCACTGTAGGGATATGAAAACTACATATGACTAGTTTTTAGGTTGTCTGAACAGTTAGTGCACTTTCACTAAGGGATAAGGGATCTGTCATTTAGAGAGTTCTGTGGAACACAAAAGAAAAAATTGTGAAGAAATAAGGTTGGCAACTAAACTGTTTTGCTGCCCGTTGACTTGCATAGTATGGACAAAAAAATACACTTGAAGTCAATGGAAACCGAAACTGTTTAATTACCAACATTCTTTACAATATCTTCTTTTATATTCCACAGAAAAAGAAACGCATACATGTTTGGAACGACATGAGGATGAGTAAATGATAACCGAATTTTCATTTTTTGGTGAAGTCGAATCCCCTGAATAATAAGGGTCAGCACACGACATTTGTGTGTACAGAAACAGCTGCTAAAAATATTAAAGCCGTTATATATAAAAATGTAGATAACATAATTAACTTCTAATCAACTAGTCGGTTGTTGAAAAAACTAGTTGGAAAATCCTGCTTATCCCTAATGCGTAGCAGCCTGCTCAATCTGGTACATCTGTTTAGCATTACAACACAGGAGTCCTGCATGTGAATACTTACCGGTGTTTGGTAAAATGAAGCAAACGGAGTACTTTATGATTTCCGTCAGTCAAGGCCTGAGGGTTTTTCTGCCCCACACTGGCAGGATCTGGCCTAAAATAAAAGCGTCTGAGCATACCCAAGGAATAACCCCGGGCTCAGATGCTCTCAAATTACTGAAGTGCTGTATCTGGATCAGTTTTGCATTTTAACACAAAAAGGGTAAGGGCAAGCCATGCAAATGTAATCTCCTGATCGTGCAAGCCACAGAACCAATACAAGACTGAAGGTGTGAGGCTGAGGATATGTGAATGTTTTGTGGTTCGCAGCCAAAGCGAGTTGCACATGTGTTTGCCAGTCTAATGGCCTTAAAAAGAGATGGAAACTTCAGATGGCTCTGTGGCATTACTATTTCGATTACCAGTACAGAAAATGTAGAAATGTAGCTCACTTTATGTGATTTTAATTTTATTGAGTCTTTTATTTTGTTTCTAGCTGACCTGTCACAGGTGGCGCTAACCGTAGAAAAAAGGACAAACTTTTTTTTCTATACACTGTAAAAAATTTGTGCAATTTTAACTGTAAAATTTTGTAAAAACGCTATGGAAAAAAACTGTTAATAGGTTAACAGTAAGTTCCCGTACTATATACAGGGAAAAACTAAAATATCTAACCAGACATTTCATGTAATTTTACAGTAAAATGAAGTAAAAAAAAGTCTTAGAAGTAAAAATAACAAATCAATGTATAATTTACAGTCAAAAACTGTAAACTGATATTCCCAGAATTCCCTGCATGACACTCCACATTTGAAAGTATTTTGTTTAAATAATCATGTTTTTTTTGTTATTAGTTATGTATATTTGGGCTTTATGTTACATCTTATGTTGTTTAATGAAAGTTGAATGCATTATTTAAATATCATGTGTGTTACCATGATGATGTTTTGTTTGCATGAATGACTCTGTGCACCTTCTATATATTAGTATATACTTCTGCTTGTGGCGAAGCTACTTGTGATGAACTTTGATTCTTCATGTGGCTTTCTCTTTTACCACCTGCATTATTATGGTGGTTGTCAGTATGTTAAAGGTACAAAACAGATTTTAATAGCAGTGTGCATTGTTGAATTTACTGGTTTACATTCAAATTTTCTGTAAATTACAGTTTTATACTGTACAATTTACAGGTTTTGGCCGTAAATGTGATTACAGTTTTTCTATATTTTTTACAAAATTATTCTGGCAACTACAGCTGCCAAAATTATTTTGTAAAAACTACAGTACTTTATTCCTAAAATGGCAAAGCTGAATTTTGAATTTTCAGAAGACTTCTCCAGTCTTCAGTGTCACAATTTAAAAAAGAAAAAAAAAACATCTTATTGACCCCAAACCTTTGAATGGCAGACTACCTGTATTTAGACGAGACCTGAGCTTCACTGTTTTTGGTTCCAGTATGAAAGGCAACAGGGAGTCTGTGGAATATTTGTGGATTTTGTTTTGGTACAGATGACTGAACATGTATCCTGTGTGACTGCTGGGGGAAATGAATCGTAAAGAGTGCAGTATTTGTAATATCTTTGAATGTCTGTATTTTATGTAAGCTGGTTTTGCACAATATAAAGCACTAATGTTTGTTTTATTGTACTACCTTTCTAATATGAGAGGACATCAACTGCTAGAGCAAAGACCATTTTCCTATCATTTTTTATTTTATTGTTTGTTGAAAAGAAATATTTGAAAATGAAATATCTGAATTCTCACTGAATGGTTGCCAGGTTTCTTTTTAGATATTCATGTCACAATTTAACAAAAATGTTTATCCTATATTAGATTACTGGTATATGATATATATCCGAATTGTTGCTACATGGATAGGCCTAGTTTGTCTGCAAGTTCTATCTGCACTGGAACTGGTTTTCCTTAACTTTTATAGATTGTACATGGTTATGTCGAGATGTCAGCTCTCTGCTGTTAGTGATTCGCTGTTGGACATTTATCACTAGTTCTTGATGCTTGCAAAGACTTCCTTACAAAACTGAGCACAGGGTGTTATTTATGAAAATTTGTTAAGTGAGATGATGTCAGGAAGTCCCACTGTGTCTAGCAAAAACACTCTGCTTTTGTGTGCTTACTAATTTTACTGCTCTGATTGATTCCATCCCATAAAGCACTTGGAAATGGTGCGGTTACTTCTGTCACGCTGTTACAGGCAAAACATTATATCCATTTGTGTTTCCATCCCTGTTTCTCTGATGACCTCACAACTCTTCAATCATCTTTTCTTCCAGACCCTTCCGAGAACATGCGAGAGATCCTCCAGAATGTGGCCAAACAGCAAGGAGTCTCAAATATGCGCAAACTCGGCCACCTAAACAACTTCATCAAGGTTTGTCATCTCAAGAGTGGATCAGGGAATGCTGGGATCAATGTTGTTAGCTGCCTAAATCCCAACGTTTTCTTGCTCTGATGCTGCAGAACAAGCACTGTAGGGATATGAAAACTACATATGACTAGTTTTTAGGTTGTCTGAACAGTTAGTGCACTTTCACTAAGGGATAAGGGATCTGTCATTTAGAGAGTTCTGTGGAACACAAAAGAAAAAATTGTGAAGAAATAAGGTTGGCAACTAAACTGTTTTGCTGCCCGTTGACTTGCATAGTATGGACAAAAAAATACACTTGAAGTCAATGGAAACCGAAACTGTTTAATTACCAACATTCTTTACAATATCTTCTTTTATATTCCACAGAAAAAGAAACGCATACATGTTTGGAACGACATGAGGATGAGTAAATGATAACCGAATTTTCATTTTTTGGTGAAGTCGAATCCCCTGAATAATAAGGGTCAGCACACGACATTTGTGTGTACAGAAACAGCTGCTAAAAATATTAAAGCCGTTATTTATAAAAATGTAGATAACATAATTAACTTCTAATCAACTAGTCGGTTGTTGAAAAAACTAGTTGGAAAATCCTGCTTATCCCTAATGCGTAGCAGCCTGCTCAATCTGGTACATCTGTTTAGCATTACAACACAGGAGTCCTGCATGTGAATACTTACCGGTGTTTGGTAAAATGAAGCAAACGGAGTACTTTATGATTTCCGTCAGTCAAGGCCTGAGGGTTTTTCTGCCCCACACTGGCAGGATCTGGCCTAAAATAAAAGCGTCTGAGCATACCCAAGGAATAACCCCGGGCTCAGATGCTCTCAAATTACTGAAGTGCTGTATCTGGATCAGTTTTGCATTTTAACACAAAAAGGGTAAGGGCAAGCCATGCAAATGTAATCTCCTGATCGTGCAAGCCACAGAACCAATACAAGACTGAAGGTGTGAGGCTGAGGATATGTGAATGTTTTGTGGTTCGCAGCCAAAGCGAGTTGCACATGTGTTTGCCAGTCTAATGGCCTTAAAAAGAGATGGAAACTTCAGATGGCTCTGTGGCATTACTATTTCGATTACCAGTACAGAAAATGTAGAAATGTAGCTCACTTTATGTGATTTTAATTTTATTGAGTCTTTTATTTTGTTTCTAGCTGACCTGTCACAGGTGGCGCTAACCGTAGAAAAAAGGACAAACTTTTTCACTGTAAAACTGTAAAAAATTTGTGCAATTTTAACTGTAAAATTTTGTAAAAACGCTATGGAAAAAAACTGTTAATAGGAAGTTCCCGTGTTCCCGTACTATATACAGGGAAAAACTAAAATATCTAACCAGACATTTCATGTAATTTTACAGTAAAATGAAGTAAAAAAAAGTCTTAGAAGTAAAAATAACAAATCAATGTATAATTTACAGTCAAAAACTGTAAACTGATATTCCCAGAATTCCCTGCATGACACTCCACATTTGAAAGTATTTTGTTTAAATAATCATGTTTTTTTTGTTATTAGTTATGTATATTTGGGCTTTATGTTACATCTTATGTTGTTTAATGAAAGTTGAATGCATTATTTAAATATCATGTGTGTTACCATGATGATGTTTTGTTTGCATGAATGACTCTGTGCACCTTCTATATATTAGTATATACTTCTGCTTGTGGCGAAGCTACTTGTGATGAACTTTGATTCTTCATGTGGCTTTCTCTTTTACCACCTGCATTATTATGGTGGTTGTCAGTATGTTAAAGGTACAAAACAGATTTTAATAGCAGTGTGCATTGTTGAATTTACTGGTTTACATTCAAATTTTCTGTAAATTACAGTTTTATACTGTACAATTTACAGGTTTTGGCCGTAAATGTGATTACAGTTTTTCTATATTTTTTACAAAATTATTCTGGCAACTACAGCTGCCAAAATTATTTTGTAAAAACTACAGAATTTTTTTTACAATATATATATTTGATGAATTATCAGTTCACTGACAGCATTGTCATATTTCAGCAGACGATCATGAGCCCTTTCGGTCTAACAGATCATGAGCCCTTTCGGTCTAACAGATCATGAGCCCTTTCGGTCTAACAGATCATGAGCCCTTTCGGTCTAACAGATCATGAGCCCTTTCGGTCTAACAGGTTTTGTCAAGTCAACCATGCTGTGAGTTGTATAAATCACCTGAGGATGAAAAAAACACCCTTCAACTCTTTGAACATGGGCATGTTTTCGCTCGGTGTGAAATACCCTGCAGTGTTCCAGCAATAGTTTGAGTATTTCAAAACAAGTAGAGTCATCAATGTCTCTATTTGTTGCCAAGTAAAATATATAAATGCTTGTTTATGTCTCCAATACAGCTGCTCTGCAATGTAGGGCACTCTGAGGAAAAGTTTGGCTTTACCTATGAAGAAATGATCCTTTGGTGAGTCATAAAGCAACTGAGGTTTCAGTTGTTTTTCTTAAGAAATTAATACTTTAGTTCAGTAAAGATGCATTCAAATGTGAAAGTAAGGACATTTTTATATTACAAAAGATTTTTATTTCAAATAAATGTTATTCTTTTATATATATATATTTATTTATATATATATATTTATCAAAGAATCCTGAAAAAAAAATTATATTTAAAAAATATCATGCAGCACAACTGTTTTCAACATTGGTAATAAATGTTTGTACCAAATCAGCATATTAAAATGATTTCTGAGGGATCATGTGATACTGAAGACTGGGGTAATGACTGCTAAAAATTCAGCTTTGTCATCACAGAAATAAATAACATTTTAAAATATATTCGATTAGAAAAGGGTTATTTTAAATTGCAGTAGTTTCAGAATAGTATAATTTGTACATTAAAGAATGCAGCCTTGGTGAGTGTAAGAGACTTCTTTTAAAAACATTAAAAAACACAACTTTTGAACAGTAGCATATAAAATATAATCTCTTTTTTTTCTAGTAAACGTTCCCATACACAATTAATCATTAGATTTGTTTTCATCATTTTTAATTTAAATGAAATGACTTTGTCCACCTCTGAAATGACTTATCTTGTCTTCTGCCTTAGGAGAAAAAAATATATAAAACATTATTTCTCAGTGAATGTCCTGTTTTACTCTAAAACGTGTGAAATAACTTTAAATGATATTGAAATGCAGTGTCATGTTGTCTTTTCTGTTTCTTTCACAGCCTCAGGTTGGCACTGCTCAATGAGGCTAAGGAGGTGCGGGCGGCTGGTTTGCGTGCTCTCCGCTACCTCATCAGAGACAGTAATATCCTTCAGAAAGTGCTGCGGCTCCAGGTGGATTACCTGATTTCCAGGTCTGTATGACATGTCTTCATAGCACTGTATGCAAGGCCAGTCATTTCAGCAGTTTAGTTCAAGTCTGAGCTAGGGTTTTAAGGATATGGACTAACTGTTTCCATCAGAAACAAGACTTGATGTTAATTCATGGTGAGTTGTGGGGATGGGGCAGTCGGGGCCTAATGGTTAGAGAGTCGGACTTGTAACCCAAAGGTCGTTGGTTCGAGTCTCGGTACAGGCAGGGATTGTAGGTGGGGGGAGTGAATGTACCCTCTATACCACGACTGAGGTACCCTTGAGCAAGGCACCGAATCCCCAACTGCTCCCCGAGTGCAGCAGCAAAAATGGCTGCCCACTGCTCTGGGTGTGTGTTCACTACTCACTGCTGTGTGCACTTGGATGGCTTAAATGCAGAGCACAAATTCCAAGTATGGGTCACCATACTTAACTTCACGTCACTTTCACTTTCCTCTCTTGTTAGTATCTGAGAGAGAGGAGGAGCGAGTCTAATGTGAAGAGCTAGTCAAGTCCGGTTAAGGTCATTTTGAAGTGGTGGTACTGTAAGGATGTGCTACTTCCTCTGTCCTGTCTGAACACCCAGCAAGTGAGATATTGGATAGGAAAATTAATCAATTACTCATACTTCTCAGTGCAGATGTTATTATGGTTTAAGAAGCATTTCACTGCATTGACTACTAATGTTGACTGGTTCACATAATGTTGACTAATGTGACCTTTTGACCTTCAGGTGCATTGACATCCAGCAGAGTAATGAGGTGGAACGCACACAAGCACTCAGACTGGTGAGAAAGGTGAGATGTGAACACTTCCTGCTGTTTTGTTGTTCATTCAATACTGAAAAATATCACAGGAGTCCTGTTAAAAAAAAAAAAATTTTTAATTCTTTACATTTCTAGATTTTTATTTTATTTTGCCATGCAGATGTTGTCTTGCATGCATTATCTGATGAATGAACAAAAATTCAATTTACCATCCTATGTATTGTGAACAAATAAATGATGAATGAAACTATGATAGAAGTAGCCCCAGTAATATTCTTTTTCTTAATTGTTCTATTTCATTTAATCTTTATACTTTTAGATTTAATTTAATTTAATTTGACCTTTTATTTGACATGTTTCTGCCCTGCAGATGTCATTTAGCACACACTTTTTAATGAACTAGCTTGCTGCTAAAATTGAGTTTACAAAACTGCATTTTTTGAAGAAGTAAATGAACAATGGTAAAAACTGCACCCCCAGAATTATTCTTTTAATTTTTTTATTTATTATTTATACTTCTAGATTTTATTTTATTAATACATGTTGCACTCAAACAAAATGAACTAAACAGGAAATCAAAATGTTCTCACATTATACACTGGGCCATTTCTTTAACAATGTTCAGTGTTCTTTTTGTCATGGACCGAAGTGTCGGTATAAGCTTTTTTTTTTTTTTTTTTACAATGATTTTCTAGATGATCACTGTGAACGCCCTGCTCTTCCCAAGCTCAATCACAAACTCCCTCATTGCTGTGGGTAACGATGGACGCCAGGAGCGGGACCGTATGGTTCGTGCCTGCATCGCCATTATCTGTGAACTTGGTAGGTTTGCTGCTTTGCACACTGATCAGAGAATGACTACGTATCAAACTGTGAATGTGTATGTTGACCTTATTTAATGTCTATGTTTGTGCGTGCAGCACTGGAGAACCCTGAGATTGTGGCAAAGAGGGGTGGTCTCAGCACCATCCTGAAGAATGTAATCGACTGCCAGCTCAGTCGCATCAATGAGGCTCTAATGACCACCATCCTGCACCTGCTCAATCACCCACATACGCGGCAATACGTTCGCTCTGATGTGGAGCTCGAGGTATGAATCTGTCTTCAACAATGAGACCATCAGAAATTGTATTACTTCATTTTCCATAATTGTTTTAATTACTATTTATTTTATTATTATAAATTAAATAATATTATAAATAATTAAATTATTAAATAATATTGCAACCATTTTATTTTATTATTCATTTAGTCCTGTTAGTTTGTCTTTAATTCAACCTTACATTTTATATTACTATATGACATTTATATGTTTTATGTAAATTTGGTAAAAGCTGTTTTACGAGGTGTAAAACACCTCTGGTTTACTGGTTTTTTTTCCAGCAAATCCTGGCACCTTACACAGACTTTCACTACAGACACAATCCAGACACAGCAGAAGGTCAACTCAAGTGAGTGTGCAGCTTTAAGGTCAAGCTTTCAAAGTAGAATTTGCCGTTGGTGACGCAAGCATGCAACTTTTATTGGCAGCATGTATGGATGTGTGGTATTTCTCTCTGCAGAGAAGACAGGGAGGCTCGATTTCTGGCCAGTAAGATGTCAATTGTTGCTTCCCTTCGCTCTTGGTCAGGTAAACATATCTCAATATCTTTCAAAGAATATGTCAAGCATATTATTATATTTTTCACATTGTCTATTGAAAATGAACTAACATTCAATGCTTAAATTCTGTGGAAAACTGCAAGGCTTTCTCTGGAATCCTTGTAGGGCCTGATTTCAGTCAATACTTTTATTAAAGGGGTCATATGATTCTTTAAGATTGATTGTGTAACAGTGCATATCTTAAGATGCTGCATCTAAAAAGAAGCTGGCTTATGAGCGCATGAATATTGTAGTGCATCATGCATCTTTTAAATGGAATTTCATTGAAGTTGGTGTTTATTGCTGCTCAGACCAAACCTGTTGTTTTGTCCCACTTTACTTCCAGGCATCATTAATCTCTGCAAATCAGGCAACTCTGGAATCCAGTCTCTCATTGGTCTGCTGTGTATACCAAATATGGAAGTGAGGGTATGACAAAGGATATAATTAGAAATCTTGCAGTACACAGAGCATGCAAATCAAATAACCAGCATATTTCCTGTTTTAAAAAATTATTAGTTACGTAATTCATGTTTACAATTTATAAATGTAATAATAGCCAAATTAAATTTATACATGTAAGATTAAATCCATAAAGTGTGACGAAAGTTATTTTATTATTGAATTACTACAGATTTGCAGGTATGGCTTTGTATTTTCTGCACATTGATTTTATTTTATTATTGCAAGTAAAGAGCACTGTTTTGGGAAATTACAATGAGTTGCATCCACACATTTTCTTTAACCTAGTATTTACAAAAATGTTTGTTTAGTTTTCTTAGAATTGAATGCATGCAAAATATTGAGATTAATTACTGAGATTAAAAAGAGATTATTTCATGAGATTTATCAAATATTTTAATGGCCTGTATTTTATAATAAACATAATTGTATAAATAATAATTAATTCTATTTTTAAATATTCTATTATTGTCTGTATATGTAATAATAATAATAAAATTAATAATAATACATAAACCCTAAATATTATACAATGAGATGTACATACAGAGTCAATGCTCAAGACTCATTATGAGGTACTTCATCACACTCTCTCACTCTCTTCTCAGCGAGGTCTGCTGGAGGTGATGTATGATATATTCAGACTCCCTGTTCCCGTGGTGACACAAGATTTTATAGAAGCTCTTCTCAGTGTGGGTGAGTGCTACTGCTGTCTGCTTCCACTGATAACATATTCATTTCCAGACATCTACCACATCAGAAGTCAACTCACACTGACAAGAATCATGTGTTCTATCCCCTTTCTAGACCCCAGTAGGTTTCAGGACAGTTGGAGACTGTCAGATGGCTTTGTAGCCTCAGAAGCAAAAATTATTCTTCCGCATAGGGCACGGTCCAGGTAAGACCATTTGCTGGGTTTAATTAACTCTTAAACTGAGCTAAGTAATGAAGCCTTAGCAGATCAGCCTTGTATGCATTTAGCTTCAATGTCTTGACATGTGTTTGTGTTCTTTGTGTCCACCCAGACCGGATTTGATGGATAACTATCTCGCCTTACTACTTTGTGCTTTCATCCACAGTGGACTTTTAGAGGTAATATACCATTTTAAAATTGTGATTCACCATCATCTTTTCGAACATGAACAAATCTTGAAGAAAAGAAGCTGTGGTTCATTCAAGCTGTCATTTTTTTTATTCATCCTCGTGTTGTTTCAAACTTTTATGACTTAGTTTCTTACATGGCCCACGAAAAGAGATATTTATGAATGTTCATGCTGCTCTTTTCCATGCAGTGAAGCATATCAAAACTGTCAAGCTCCAAAAAGAACAAAAAACCCAAATGTAGTCTGTGACAATATATATCGCAAGACTTCTGAAGCCGTGATGTTGTTTATTTTCAGGGCCTGGTTGAAGTGATTACGAGCAGTGATGATGGTGTTTCAGTGCGTGCAACCATCCTCTTAGGGGAACTCCTGCATATGGTATTATGCTCAAATCAATGCAACAGTGAATACAGCTTAATCTTGTACTATGTCTCATATGACCTTAAATGGTCTTCGTTTTATTTTCAGGCCAACACCATTCTCCCCCACTCCCATAGTCACCACCTGCACTGCCTGCCCACTCTTATGAACATGGCTGCTTCTTTTGACATTCCTCAGGAGAAAAGACTGTGAGTTGCTGTCTTGTCCTAAATATCCAGAAACACAAATAGCACAGTGTCAAAGCTACGTGATTATTTCTGTGATTTGATGGAGCTGTGTTCGGTTGTGTTTTGTAGACGGGCAAGTGCTGCGGTCAACTACTTGAAGCGATTTCATGAAAAGAAGAAGCAAGGCCCCAAACCCAATAGTCTTTACTTGGACCACATTATTCGCAAATCACTGGCTGCTCATTGCTGTCGGGACCAGAACCTAAGGCCCCAGAGGGACATTTTTGTCATTAAGGTACGTGCAGGTGACTGGAGGAAAGCATTTCTTGGATGTTTCAGCTTGGATGTGATCTACATTTTTGTTGTGTTCTTTAGGACACTGAGGAGGCCCTGATGATGAACCTCAGAGACAGTCAGATTCTAAATCATAAGCAGAATTTGGACTGGAACTGGGTGCTGATCAGTACCATACTTAAGGTAGGATATTTTGGATTAAATTGTTGTGTTTTTTTTAAAGACAGATGGCTTGAGTACCACTTTCTTCCTTGTGTCAATGGAATGCAATTTAAAAAAAATAATTCTACTTTATAATATTTTAAAATTAATTTTTTTTTCCTGTGATGGCAAAGCTGAATTTTCAGCGGCCATTACTCCTGTTTTCACATGGTCCTTCAGAAATCATTCTAATATACTGATTAGGTGCTCAAGAAACATTTCCTATAATCAATGTTGAAAACAGTTTAATTAAACTGCTTACTATTTGTTTGGAAACCATGATTTGAAATGGAAACATTTTATCTGAAATAGAATTTCTTGTAACGTTAATGCATACTTACTGAATAAAAGTATTAATTTCTTAAAAAAAAACAAAAAACTTTTGAACCCTAGTGTATGTCTGATGAACATTATATTTTGTCTTTTTTTTTTTGTTAGCATGGCAATAAAGCACCAATTAAATTTTTTTAATGTAAAAATCTACACTGAACAAAATTATAAACGCAACACTTTTGTTTTTGCCCCCATTTTTCATGAGCTGAATTCAAAGATCTAAGACTTTTTCTATGTACACAAAAGGCCTATTTCTCTCAAATATTGTTCACAAATCTGTCTAAATCTGTAGCTGTGTCTCATTTAGAAGGCTGCACCCTCCGGAGGTCGAATCCTCTGGAGGTCGCATCCTCTGTAGGATGCATATACGAAGTGTCCTCAACCTAGAATTAAACGAGACGGCCTTCGTAGGACAGGCGGAAAAGGAAACCGGAAGTATCACGTTGCTATGCCAACACATTTAGAGCATCGTTGCGCTCTCACACTACTTAAATGAAGGAAATTTATTTCTAAATTTGGGAAGTAATTTGAAAAAAAAAATGCTTTTACTTGATTTATTTTGTTCAATGTTTGAGGAGCTGCAGCATACCTACAGCAGGCATCTATCAGAGAAAAAAAGGTGGAGGATATTAAAAACACATTTTATCCGTTTTTACCGAGGCGATTTAAGGTAAGTTGTAAACACCACATCTGCGCTTGTGTGTACGTGACATCTGCCGGCGCCGGCATTTTTCAAATTAACAATGGTTGTTCACGGCGACGCAAAAAATTGTGGGTTATCTGTAGCAGGGAAGGATACACCTCATGCATCCTCCGAAATACTGTGAAAGAATTTCGCATTTGAAGGTTGCATTCGGAGTGTCCTACTTGCTTTTCTGAAATGAGACAGCCTCGATGACGTATGTAGCCTTCGAATGCGACCTCCGGAGGACGCAGCCTTCTAAATGAGACACAGCTTGTATTAGTGAGCACTTTTCCTTTGCCGAGATATTCCATCCACATCACAGTAAAAATAAAAGGCCACTCTAAAATGTGCAGTTTTATCACACAGCACAATGCCACAGAATGTCAATGTTGTGGATCGAGTGGCCCATGGTGGTGGTGGGGTTATGGTATGGGCAGGCGTATGTTATGGACAACGAACACAGGTTCATTTTATTGATGGCAATTTGAATGCACAGAGTTACCGTGACGAGATCCTGAGGCCCATTGTTGTGCCATTCATCCACGACCATCACCTCGTGTTGCAGCATGATAATGCACGGCCCTATGTTGCAAGGATCTGTACACAATTCCTGGAAGCTGAAACATCCCAGTTCTTGCATGGCCAGCATACTCACTGGACATGTCACCCATTGAGCATGTTTGGGATGCTCTGGATCGGCGTATACGACAGCGCGTTCCAGTTCCTGCCAATATCCAGCAACTTCGCACAGCCATTGAAGAGGAGTGGCCCAACATTCCACAGGCCACAATCAACAACCTGATCAACTCTATGCGAAGGAGATGTGTTGCACTGCGTGAGGCAAATGGTGGTCACGCCAGATACTGACTGGTTTTCAGACCCCCCCGGACCCCCCAATACAGTAAAACTGCACATTTTAGAGTGGCCTTTTATTGTGGCCAGCCTAAGGCACACCTGTGCAATAATCATGCTGTCTAATCAGCGTCTTGATATGCCACACCTGTGAGGTGGATGGATTATCTCGGCAAAGGAGAAGTGCTCACTAACACAGATTTAGACAGATTTGTGAACAATATTTGAGAGAAATAGGCCGTTTTTGTACATAGAAAAAGTCTTAGATTTTGAGTTCAGCTCATGAAAAATGGGGGCAAAAAAGAAAGTGTTGCGTTTATAATTTTGTTCAGTGTAGTTGCGATGTGCAGTGTGGTATCTTTTCTAACTTGATTTTTAATTGTTTTTCAGTGGCCAAATGCCAACCTTCGGAACAACAAAGAGGAACAGATGTACAAGTAAGTAGAGTTTGGTTTTCTATTCTTAGAAATCTTCCTAATATTTTTTTTGTGGCCCATTCATTGCTGTAAATCCTACACTTTCTTTCTCAGGTTTGTGCGAAGGCTGCTGTTCTTCTACAAGCCTAGCAGCAAGCTGTATGCTAGCCTGGAGCTGGACCACAGCAAGGCCAGGCAATTAACTGTGGTGGGCTGTCAGTTTATTGAGTTCCTGCTGGAGTCAGATGAGGTGAGAAGAAAAGATATCAGAACTGAGCCTATCATGTTGCTCCGAACGTACAGTATATAACTTTCTTTCTTCCAACTTCTCCATTTGTGTTTCGCAGAAGAAAGAATGGCATGATAGATTAGAGAATTTAAAATTTTTAAAGACTTTTCCTGTCTTCTCAGGATGGACAGGTGTATCTTGAGGACCTGGTGAAGGACGTTGTGCAATGGCTGTCCTCGTCCTCTGGGCTGAAACCAGACCGTAGTCTGCAGTGCAACGGCCTCCTCACTACTCTCAGCCAGCACTACTTCCTATTCCTCGGCACTCTCTCTGCCCACCCCCAGGGTGTTAAGATGCTTGAGAAGTGCAGCGTCTTCCAATGGTTAGATTAGGAATGATTAGAAATTATATAGAGATACACAATAGATTGGTATCTTCCAATATTAGCCTTTTTTCTAATTGTTTTGACAGCCTGCTGAACCTGTGCTCCCTGAAGAACCAGGACCATCTTCTGAAGCTGACCGTTTCCACACTGGACTACAGCCGGGATGGCTTAGCACGAGTCATTCTCTCAAAGATCCTCACTGCTGCTACTGACGTAAGAAACAAACCTACTACCCTTTGAGTGTGTTTACCTTTACAAAGCATGCTGGTAAAAGCATTCCCCTATGCTAACAGATCTCTAATACAGTTCTTGAATGTTATTTTGGCACAGAACTGCAGGCTGTATGCCACCAAGCATCTGCGGGTGCTACTTCGAGCTAACGTGGAGTTCTTCAGCAACTGGGGTATTGAACTGCTGGTGACTCAGCTACACGACCGCAACAAGGCTGTCTCGGTGGAGGCTTTGGACATACTGGATGAGGCCTGTGAAGACAAGGTGAAGTCAATTGACACACAAGGGCAAAAGGGAGGATGTTATTAACATTGAGGAGTTTAACTTGGCAGAAAGTCGTGTTATTTAACTGAGCTTGGAGGACCAGCCACTGTACTTCAGGCCCAAACTCCTAAAGGACCGCATCCCCTTCACCATATTAGCTTCCAGTCGACTTGTCCGTAACCGCTTCCTCATCTCCCTTTCCGGAAAGAAACTCCGTAGTACCAGTGACCCCAAAGGCACTGGTAGCAGCAGTAAACTCCAGGGTGAGCCCACATTAGGAGGCCTAAGGAGGATACGCACAGTTACAGAGCCCTCTATATTCTCTCCAGTTCAGGGAGATGTATTCAGTCCTGTATTTACTGACGGACACCTGCTGAAAAGCCCAAGTGTTAGTCTGGATACCTCTTTTGTGGGCTGCAAGACTTCGGAAACTCAGGGCAGCACATCTAGTATTGGGGAGTCGGAGGTGCATCTGAACAAAGCTGGAGAACGGAGCTCAGGTGTTGGAGACGCCCCCCGGGAGCAGACCAGTCGGGAAAGGCTGGCCGGCGATGGCTCAAACTCTGGGGGCGGGGCTCAATTTAAAAGTCGCAGCCAGAGTTTCAACACGGACACTACCACCAGCGGCATCAGCTCCATGAGCTCCAGCCCATCCCGAGAGACGGTGGGTGGCGTGGACTCTTCTACCATCGACACGGACTGTGTTAGCCTCAATACGGTCATTAGCACTCAAACTGTCAAAACACTTAACTCTCTCACGCCCCAGTCCAACCACCTGCCCCTGTCCAAATCTAACTCGGTACTGCTGATGCCACCAGGTTCCTCTCATACTTTGCCACGGAGGGCTCAGTCCCTTAAATCGCCCTCTGTCACGACCATTTCAAGCCTGACAGACTGTAGCTTCATGTACACCAGCCCTCGAGACGCATTGGGCTATGCTACCCTCAAACGACTACAGCAGCAGCGCATTCACCCTTCCCTTTCCCAAAGTGAAGCGCTCGCCTCGCCTGCCAAAGACGTGCTCTTCGCCGATGCCATCACTATGAATACTGGCAGCCTGGACTCCAGACTCACACCACGCAGGTAAAGCAGATGGTGTAAAACTCTTTCCCTTTTCTGTCATTACGTCACCCTTCGTTTACTTTTTTCTTTCGCATCAAATTTTACACTTACACAACTTTCTCAGAAAGCATCCAGTTACCATCCTGCTCCAAAGGTTTCAAGATGTCTTGACTCAATGAACATTTCTCAGAAGAGTCATTAAGAGTTAAGAAGTCATTCTTCTTTAGACTTCCTTTAATATTGTTCTGTTTTGGGATGCGGCTGTGGAAGATATCAGCCTGATAAGACCATAGTATTATAAATTCTAGAAATATCAATGTTAATCAGACAAGAAATGAGTATTAGAGTTCCCCGTTAATGTTACCATCCATATAATACAAAATGACACTCCTAAAAGCCCAGAATGAAGCACTGCTCCCTCTGGAAATAATGTGGTCCGTTTCTGATGGTCCCTCTCAGGTATACTAAAAAGCACTTCAGATGTCTGGGCCAAGGTTCGTGCAGGCCCCATCACAGATCTCTGCTGCCACGGTGCGTGGTCCATCCCTTGGGCTGACGTTCCCCTCTTTCAGTTTGAACGTCCACTTCAGTCCATTTTTACAATACAAAAACCCTAACCTCCTTGGCTACTATTTCGTCGTACTTTGCCCCCCCCTTTTTTTAATTTCTCATTAGCGCTCCCATAGCCCATATCTTAACCTGATTCTCTTCAACCATGACTCCTGAGTAGTGTTGTTTTTGGCGGCCTGTTTTAATTTTAGTTTTAGTCTAGTCTTTGTGTGAAACTGTCATTTTAGTTTTTATTAGTTTTAGTCACGTTCATACTCTTTTTAGTCTAGTCAAGTTTTAGTCGACTAAAAGTCTGAGCATTTTAGTCTAGTTTTAGTCGATGAAAACTGATGACATTTAGTCTAAAAATTCTGAATATGAAAATTGTATTTTAGTCTCTTTTTAGTAATGCAATTCTATTTAACCAATGTTTAATCTTAGAAAGCTATTATTATCAGAGGACACGTGAGCATAACGGTTAGCAGATCAATGAATGAGAGGGCAGCGTTACCAGAGTTGCCCATATACCACACCATGTTACAGCACAGTAGGGCTTTTGCAGACAGAAACAATACTGAACTACATCGATGTTTCCTGTCGGCTTGATTTTTGAGAGGACTTTGCTGTTCCGATGAGCATGAACGGTATATGAATGGAGCAGTCACATGGGCCGCGAGCGACTGAGCGGAGCACACACACACAGAGCGGGATAATATACAGTCTATGGATAATACACGCACACACACACACACAAGTGAATCCTGAGCGGTGAACTCATTTTCGGCAGCCGGAATTTCTGTGCATCTCTAATTATTGGCGACATTAGAAATGGATATTATATAATAGCTGCTTTTTTGAACATTTTAGCAATTTAAAAATATTAAAAAATGATTTTTTTACACGGCACCCCTGCTCTCGACAGACCCCGGTTGGGAAACACTGTTCTAAATAATTAAAGGTAAAGGTTCGTTGACGACTATATTTAGTCATAATTTTCGTTGACGAAAGCAACACTACTGAGCCCTTGAAATTACCTCCCCACAGTAGGACAAAGTAAACTCTCCTCATTCCTCATTGATTGTATGTAGTTCTAAAAATACTTTCTAACCTACGCCCTGCCTCCTTTGCCACATAATTCCTTCAAGTAGTTTTCTGATGTAAACGTTCTGAAACCGATTCCCTTAATAGCCTTATTCCCGCATTTGATCCAAGAAGCATGTAGAGGTTTTTGACCTTCAGAACTTGCATGATGCAGCTAATGGAAAACAGCTGCTCTTTCTGAAGTGTAAATAAGCTTCACCAGCCTGTTCCCACATTGACAAACCTACCAATTATCTGCTAGCAAGAATACAGTAATGCAGTATCATCACAAGTAGTTTCCAAAATGTCCAAACTTCCTTTCTTACCATTTTCTCTCTCCCAATGTTGTCCTCCTTCTAAACGCTTCTCTCTGATCTCTTCCCTTCTGTATGAGTACAGGTTTCTCAAGGCTTTGAGTTTTGCATCTCTGGATAAGGAGGATCTTCTGAGCCCTATCAGTCAGACCTCCCTGCAGCGCTCCTCCTCAGTTCGTTCCATGGTGTCCAGTGCCACATATGGCAACTCAGATGACTACATTGGCCTTGCACTGCCAATGAACATCAACAGCATGTTCCAGGTTACTAACTACTCTATGATCCGGTTTATACCTGATACTAACATCCATCTCTGGTGATCTGATCCCAGTCTGTCTATCAGGGAAGATTGCTCTTTACACATGATGTTACTATGCAATTAAATACATCTTGAACAAACTGTCTCAGGGAGTGGTCTGCAAAGTCAAAGTGTGTGGCCACCACTTCCGAAAGGTGTCCACTTGGGATAGGATTATCCAAAAAGGATGTCAATACCAAGTGTAAACGGGCATTACAAAAATACTTTCTAAATTTGTCTGGCACTTGACTTTCTTGTATTTGGTTTCTACCTAGATTAAAGACATACCGTACTTCCAGAAGAGGACAAGTCCACCGTCAGAAGACCGATCAGCAAAGTTCTTCTCAGGAGATGCAGATGGTAAAGACAGGAATGGTTACATTGTTTAATCAGTTACTATTCCCATAGCATTAGTGCCTCATTACTGCTTCAGTAACTGAATGCTGCTCTTTTCTCAGGTTCCAGTGAAGGATCCAGGCATTCTGTTCTGCGATCTCAGCTTAGTATCACGGAGCTGATTGCGGTGAGCCGTTCAGACCAGCACCAGCTGCTGGGTGCGGAGGAGACCGGTCTGCAGGAGCACAACGAGGAGAACTGCCTTTACTGTGCAGGGCTCTACATGCTTGGCTGCAATTTAAGCACTCCCACACAAAGCCGCACAGGTAAGCTGCACGTTTATCCAGATGAATATTGGAAAAAGGTGACATCACTTTGACCAGATGTCCCTAAAATCCTGTGAGAACTTATGCAATATTTTACTTCAATCATGGTCATCTAGTTACCAAATATCATTGGCTGCTTTTACACTTTGCATTAACATGCGACCTGTATCCGGATGTTGTCCACATACACATTGAAAAGACAAGTGTAAACGCGCTTCTGATCGGAATGTTATCTGATCAGCGTGTCCTGGTCCAGAGGTAGTCGTGGATGCATTGTGATTGGATCTCAGAGTAATTCAGTTCAATTCAATTCAAGTTTATTTGTATAGCGCTTTTCACAATACAAATCGTTGCAAAGAAGCTGTACGATATATGTTTCTACAATATATTTAGTGGTAGCTTATCAGTGGTTACTATGTCAGTAAATGGACATATGGCAGAAATGTACGGAAAAATCAATTAAAGACAAATCAAAACAGACTATGAACACTATTAACAGCAATTATTATATGTTTCAATCAAACTTATAGCAAAATTTGGTAGTTCTGTATGTTGTTTCAGGGTTGATGTCCTCTGAGGGGTTGGCATCATCTCTTCTCAGGTGTTTTGGATCCAGAATGTGAATGTAATGTAATGTAAACACAATCCAGCCATCGTGTCTGCATTCGCAGGTTGACGTCACGTAAAACCCCATCCCCTCTCTCCCGAACTGTCAGAAGAAAAATGGAGGACACCAGGCCGTGGAGCGTTAGTGAGACTCAAACACTTAACACCGTGCCTACACCAGACATGAGAGTTGCCGCGCAACAGCGTGAGGCTGTCTCCACTGAACGTGACAAAGTGACCATAGCAAATTATTTGAACTTTGTGTCAGTATGTCAGAAATAGGACGAGGCAACAGTTTACTGTCGGTTATTTGGTGTCGCGCCCCCCCACATCCAGTGTAGACAGCATCACTGATTACAATGGGTTCTATACTCTATACTACTAAGGCTTATTTGACTATTGCGGGAAAGAGAGTTCCAATCAGTTATCCGGATAGAGAAGTCACTTGATGTTGCCAAGTGTAAACACGCCGTGTCCTGATTGACTGATTAGCCGATCTGCTTGATCAGATCTGATCGCATGTTAATGCCAAGTGTAAACGCAGCCATTAGGTAATTTGTGTTCCCTCATGTTCTTATACACCCTCAACCCTGTTTTAGACTATCCCGATGCTCCATTCTCGGAGTGGTGCAGTCAGTCTTTACACAACCTGGAAGTCATGCCTCAGTCTAAGTACTCAGGAGTGTCTGGCTGCAGCGACGCTGTCTCTCAGGGCTCTGGTGGCAGCACACGCAGCACCGAGCTTGTTCTTGGTGAGGAATTCTTCAAGCTGGCAAAAATCCGGTTGGGAAAATTCAGGCAATTCTCAAGCATTTTGTTTTGTACAGGTGAATTGATAATTGTATGCCTGTGTATGCTGTCTTTCTGCCAGGGGTGAAAAATATACCTGAGGATGCTCCAGCGTGCCGTGTTCTTCTGAGGAAGGAGGTGCTTCGGCTGGTCATCAACCTGAGCTCCTCAGTGGGGACAAAAGGGAATGAAACTGGACTCCTCACGTAATTAAATAATTCAATTTGATATCAATTCAACAAATGCTTTCCTAATTAATTTTTAACAGAGGTTTCACTAAATATTGCTGTAACTGGGAAGACTTTTTGGCTGAACATTATTTTGAGTTGATCCTTTTGATCATTTTAATGAGGCAGTATAAAGTGAAATTTTTCTTGTGGAAAATGAAGGGAAGAGTAAAGCTTAGTAGAGAGAGGATTTTTTTTCTTCTCTGTTTTCTTTCATTGTAACTTGTTACCTTGCAGAATCAAGGAAAAGTTTCCTTATGCGTTTGATGACATCTGCCTGTATTCCGAAGTTTCATACTTGCTGGCTCACTGCATGTTCAGACTGGCTTCACGACGCTTCATTCAGGAGCTTTTTCAAGATGTTCAGTTCATTCCGGTAATGCGAAACTTTTCTCACATTAGCCCAAACAGTCCAACAGACCTGTATTTCCGCAGCTAAACTGGGTTTTTACAATTTAGTTTACAAGTTTCCAGTTTTATTGATGATGTCCCTCACAAATTGTTTTTCAGTTCTGGACTTAAACTGGGTTATAAGTTTTAATTTCTATGCCACTAGTATAAATGAACAGAATTGCAAAATAATGATTGTTTTAACACTTTTACATTACTAAGCATTCATATCGTAATCTTCTTATTTGTAGATGTACGAGGAGGCTGAGAGCATTCTGATAGTTCCCAAGAAGTCTACCACAGTAGATCTTCCATCAGAGCCGTGATCCTCTAGGCGTTTTTCCAGACTATTCTCTTCCCCTATGCAGCATGCTGTCAATCTTTTTCTTGGCCTGACCAGGCAACTAAGATGAATACGCAATAAGAGACTAGGGCTATGGGACAGACATAATTGGATTGAGAGAGTCACCGGGAATGTTTCCACAGAGAGGGAAAAAGCGGTACGTTAAGAGAACAAACTCTTTTTACATGAACAAGTATACTTTACACAGATGCTCTGTAGACATCTACAGTGGATGTCGTAACCAAATAATTCTTGTAAATGACTGTTATGAACTGTAATGCATTGAACGGAAAGTGAAACATGCGTATATTTGAACTGAGTCAATGCAAACTGTATTTCAAATGCAAGCGAGCAAAATCAATCAATAGTCTCTAGGGAGTTTATTAACTTCTGTCATTTCCGTTCAATCAATATTGTCCTTTTTTAAGGGCCTGGGCGTATGATTGCACGTAACAAAAGCATTATTTCTTTTCCCTGAGTGGATCCCTCAACACTACAACATTCCAGCTGTTTTCTTTGGATTTCTCTATTAGTAATTCTGGTTGTTTAAGTATGAAATGGCTTTCGCAACCAGGCTGAGCAAACACTCGTAAGACAATCATCATTAAGTAAGAATAATAATCAGCATCTGACAGTTTTTCTTTCCCTTTTGTACCTGACTCATAAAATGATTTTTTCAGATTTTTATTCTTGACGTAGCACATAGCAATCCCTGAGTAAATGTATGCACATGTATTTGATGGTGGTGTTACACAATCATGCAATAGCCACTGTATTGTATTATTGTGTAACTTTGTTTACTGACTTGTGAAAAATCATCCAAAAAAAATCTGACATTTGAATCCCTAAGATATTTATTTATTTATTCACTTATGTATTGGTCCAAGCAGCTCCTCTCTGTCTCTTTGACTTTATTTTAGCCCATTAGCCAAGATAAAACTGGCTGTGTATTATTTATATCTTGACAGTAAATGTATAGAAAACTGGGCGTCAAAAGAGGAAGTTAAAGTGCATTTCACTACTGCTATTTTGCAGTAGTTCTCTTCTCTGTTTTAAGTAATTTTAGTGATTTTGAATTAATAATAGAAATACTGCACCCAGAATGTTCTCTTTCTGTAGAGAAAATCATTAATTATTGAAGCATTAATAAAACCAAGACTCGCCAAACATATTTCACAATATTTGTATATGAGAAATACCTTTGTACTAATAATGCTTTTTAACCTGAATGTGGTCAGGAGATTTTGAATGGGCAAAAACATATTGGGTCAGAAATTAAGGTTAAACTGACAAGACATGATTAAGACTGATCCTTAATATATGACATGTTCTGCTCAAATTCAACTGCCTGTCATTCATAAACTACTACTATGCTTTATCGTTATCAATTTTTATAACAGCAATTCTCAGTATTGCGCATACCCATTTTGGTTTAATAAGATAACAAAATGTCTTCAGGGTTAGGATGAATCTAGTTTAACATTGAATAAAAAAAGACCAAAAATGGTTAGATCCCACTTTGTAAGTATAAAATTGAGGTTCATATTTGAATTAATTCTATGCAATGTGCCTGTTAATTCTGTATGTACAAATGACTTATTGAAGATAGGACGATCACTTCAAACATTTTCTTGGCTGGACCATTTATGTTATTTAGGCAGCTTTCATTATTTTGCCTTATTTGTTATTAGCTTTAACCGATTAGAATTAATGAAGTTGCTCTTTTTTTCTTGTGTTATTTATTATAGAAACTAATAAATCTGCCTTTGCCTACCTTGGCTTTTGAATTAAGTATCAGGTTTCAACTTGAGTCTAATATGGCCAGCGATAATACTAGTAGTTGTTACAGTATTTCCTTTTAGGCTTCTGGGGAAACTTTTAAGTGCATGTGCATTCTAACCCCTATCTGCAGTATAATGGATAGAAAAAATAAATATGGGAACTGTCCAAGAGCAACAGATAGTGGAGTGGTACATACATTTGATGCAGCCTTTTTTTTTTTTTATTATTATTATATACTGACTGGACATTGAACCGTAATTAAGACACTTATGAAATATTCTTTTTGAACAAAATAAATCTGGAATCTGCCCCTAATATTTTCGGAAGTGTTCTTGGATAAATAATTTCCGCAAAGTCATTAGTATCAGAGGGTGTGCTGAAAATATCCCAGAATGTCAGATGGTTATTTGTGGGTCTTTTTCCACAGCGTTAAATCATGGTTTATTATTTTCTTGCCTCCTGTTTTCACTAGGGCTTATGTGCAGCCCATGACCGGAAGCCATTGTCAAATTGTTTTGAAAATAATTTTTGAATTGATAAAAATATGTACTGGTGTTTTTAAAACCTTTGAAATAATAACAAGCGCCAATTATTGCAGTTAACTGTATTTGTGGAACAAGTTCCAAGCATTTTAAAAGGTTTTCTCCATCACCATTAATGCTAAGTCATTTTTAAAAATGACATTGCAGACTGATGCAAGAAGTGTTATTTATATTTTCCTGAAGGGAAGACATCTAAAACTGTTGTACATACTGATAATGTTTCTTTAATTGTGAGCTTTCTTGTATAATTTAATGTGTTTTGAGGGTCTCTTTCTGTAGAGAAAATCATTAATTATTGAAGCATTAATAAAACCAAGACTCGCCAAACATATTTCACAATATTTGTATATGAGAAATACCTTTGTACTAATAATGCTTTTTAACCTGAATGTGGTCAGGAGATTTTGAATGGGCAAAAACATATTGGGTCAGAAATTAAGGTTAAACTGACAAGACATGATTAAGACTGATCCTTAATATATGACATGTTCTGCTCAAATTCAACTGCCTGTCATTCATAAACTACTACTATGCTTTATCGTTATCAATTTTTATAACAGCAATTCTCAGTATTGCGCATACCCATTTTGGTTTAATAAGATAACAAAATGTCTTCAGGGTTAGGATGAATCTAGTTTAACATTGAATAAAAAAAGACCAAAAATGGTTAGATCCCACTTTGTAAGTATAAAATTGAGGTTCATATTTGAATTAATTCTATGCAATGTGCCTGTTAATTCTGTATGTACAAATGACTTATTGAAGATAGGACGATCACTTCAAACATTTTCTTGGCTGGACCATTTATGTTATTTAGGCAGCTTTCATTATTTTGCCTTATTTGTTATTAGCTTTAACCGATTAGAATTAATGAAGTTGCTCTTTTTTTCTTGTGTTATTTATTATAGAAACTAATAAATCTGCCTTTGCCTACCTTGGCTTTTGAATTAAGTATCAGGTTTCAACTTGAGTCTAATATGGCCAGCGATAATACTAGTAGTTGTTACAGTATTTCCTTTTAGGCATCTGGGGAAACTTTTAAGTGCATGTGCATTCTAACCCCTATCTGCAGTATAATGGATAGAAAAAATAAATATGGGAACTGTCCAAGAGCAACAGATAGTGGAGTGGTACATACATTTGATGCAGCCTTTTTTTTTTTTATTATTATTATATACTGACTGGACATTGAACCGTAATTAAGACACTTATGAAATATTCTTTTTGAACAAAATAAATCTGGAATCTGCCCCTAATATTTTCGGAAGTGTTCTTGGATAAATAATTTCCGCAAAGTCATTAGTATCAGAGGGTGTGCTGAAAATATCCCAGAATGTCAGATGGTTATTTGTGGGTCTTTTTCCACAGCGTTAAATCATGGTTTATTATTTTCTTGCCTCCTGTTTTCACTAGGGCTTATGTGCAGCCCATGACCGGAAGCCATTGTCAAATTGTTTTGAAAATAATTTTTGAATTGATAAAAATATGTACTGGTGTTTTTAAAACCTTTGAAATAATAACAAGCGCCAATTATTGCAGTTAACTGTATTTGTGGAACAAGTTCCAAGCATTTTAAAAGGTTTTCTCCATCACCATTAATGCTAAGAGTGTAAAGGAAATGCATATATTTTAATTGTATAGCCTATTTGATCATTGTACAACTAAAACTAAGTGCACCTTGGCTTTAAGTGATTTTTGTTTTCCTTTTAATTGCACTCATGATTTTGCAGAGCACTATGAAATGTAAGCACCATTTAAAAATGACATTGCAGACTGATGCAAGAAGTGTTATTTATATTTTCCTGAAGGGAAGACATCTAAAACTGTTGTACATACTGATAATGTTTCTTTAATTGTGAGCTTTCTTGTATAATTTAATGTGTTTTGAGGGGAGCGGATGGGGGCTATGGGCCTTGACAATCTAATGAAAGGGATGCGTACGTGATAAAATAAACCTCAATTTCCTTGACACATTTCTCAAGTGTTTCATTGCTGTTTGGTGTTTCTCGCAGATGTTTGGGGTGTTTTTGTTTTTTTCAAATCAGAAAGTCTTTATGCTCAGCCCGGGCCAGCTGCGCTCGCAAGAATTCCAGAGAAAGGCTTCCGTATGGAGTCAATATAATGTCACATATATTGCCACACATATGACTCTTTCCACAGAACAGTTAGTCAGTGGATACAATCCCCTCCCTTGTGTTTTTTGTGTGTGTGTGTGTGTGTGCGTATTTTGTCCGATACGATAATGCTTTTATCTACTAATATGACTGTAGTATTCTCATCTCTAATAACAGTTTACCTTCTGTAGATCCATACTGATTTCTCCAGTCAGCGTTGACTGTGTGAAATGGACCTGTAATCCACATTCCTTCCTACTTAACGTATGCCTACTGAGTTCTCATCTTGTACTGAGTAGGCTACTGTACGCAGGAAAATATCGATATCAGCCTAAAATCTTCGAGATGGCGTTGGGGAATCGTTTTAACGTGCTGCCATTAAAACACACAGCGGTTAATAAACTTGTTCTTCTTGATCCCCTTTCCAAAGAGACTCTCGTAACTCCCCGCACCCACCCTTCCACTCTGAGATCCTCCCACTACTTCTCACACTTCTGCTCGTGTACGAGTGAACTTAGTTGTTTTCCAAGACGCGGCTCTGATAAGTTTAACATGTTTAGCTCTGGGCGAAAATAATTTAAGGAAACCTGCGAACACTTTAAGCAGGTGGGTGTTTTCTTCTTCTCGTAATTCTTTTAACTTCTCAAGAAAGGCTTTGTGTAATGTTTATGTTCTAATGACACGAATCAATGAACCTATAATATGACTAACTATACTATAACTAACTATTACGGTTCATAAGGAGAGATGAGCAGCGCTCATGTCTTTGCCTCACTTATTCGATTAATTCTGTTTTATTAGATTAGGTATATTTTATATAACACACTGGTTCCGTTTTTAGTGAAATCAGTTATTAATTGTTTGTCAAATACGTTTTGTAAAATATTTCCTTTTTAAATAAAAAAGCAGGCACATGGTCCTGACATCATCTGTAAAGAATGATTACTTTGCAAGTCCTATGAGTAATATGGGTCTTTTTATACAAGAAATATCAACTCTTGGGCCATGTAGCAACTGAAGAGATGTTCTGAACAATTGAACTCTCAACAGAGTACAAAAATTAAACCATGTATATTATGTTGCAAAATAAACAAACAAACACACATGGTGTACATATGGTGTGTGAAATCCAGATGAGAAAGCCAAATATATAAAGGATTTACACAATTCCGTCATCCATGGTGTTCAGTCATATTAAGTGATCTCTAAAACAATTGCACTTCATGTTTCTGGTGTGTTGTGATTGGAAAAACAATATTGTCAATGTTAGTCATAATTTAACTCCCGGTTAAACACGTAATGGATTAGTATTTGATGTATTGGATGTGCTATTGTTTAGAAGTCTCTTCAGTCACCATCTGTGGTGTGTTTACTGTTTACTCATTTTCATAGCCGCAGATCATAAATGATGATAGTCTTATCTACAACAGACTTTAAGCCTCTAATTTTCCAGTAGTAATGCACCAATAATCGGAATTGCTGCTTCTTAATGGCCTAATGAATTCTGTTTGATTTGATTTTTATTTATTGTTCATAATCCATTTCTGTCTTATGAGCAAAACATTTCATTTTTTTAACATGATTAGAGGGTTTAGAGTTTCTCCATCAGAACAAGAAAAGTTGTACTATTTGTATACCTGAATCACAAATTAGTTGAAGGGTTACTGTCTATAAAAATCAACAAAATAATCAAGTTTTTATTAAAAAAAAAGAAACAGGTTGGGCTGTGGTAGATACTGCACATACTCAAGGTAATGCAGTTTGAGTTTGTGTTGAATCATGTCCTGATGATTCCATTTTCTCTCTCTCCTTCCACTTTACTATCTCCATCTCCTGTAAATTAAAACCCATTAGGGAAGAAAGATAACTTATTTCTACTTTTATACCTTATTAGAAGATGCTATTCAGCCATGCTTAATTGATTAGAACCATTTTGTTTCCTTATCAGATCTAATTGCTAATGGAAACACTTATGAGCCATTTCTTGTCCAGAATCTCCTGAGATCAATCATGTCAGTCTGGCTTTTGTGTGCTCTGCTTTTTTCACTGATTGGCCTAACAAAACAGGATGGTGAGTCTTGAACGCATTTAACTTGTGAAACTTTTAAAGAGATAGTTCAACAAAAAATTAACATTTGCTAAAAATTTGTACCCTCAGGGCATCCAAGATTTTGTTTCTTCATTAGAACAGATTTGGAGAAATTTAGCATTACATCTCTTGCTCACCAATGGATCCTCTGTAGTGAATGGGTGCCGTCAGAATGAGAGTCCAAACAGCTGATAAAAACATCACAATAATGCCCAAGTAATCCACACGACTCCAGTCCATCAATTAACTTCAGCGAAAAGCTGCGCGTTTGTTATAAATAAATCCACCACGTCTTCAAATGAGTCTTCTATAATATTGCTTTCGCCAGTGGAAAAAGTCATCTGCTATGAATCAGGAGAGAAATATGCACAGATTAAGCACTGTTTCAAAGTGAAAACAATTCAAAACATTTCTAAAAACATGCGTCACTGGATTTAGATGTGAGAGGACAGCAGGGATGGACTTTTTCACTGGAGAAAGCGTTATGTATTATTATGGATTATTGGCCAGAGCGGTTTAAAGTTAAAATGTCTTAATGATGGATTTGTTTCTTACGAAAGAAACAAACACATCTACATCTTGGATGGCCTGATGATGAGTGCATTTTCAGAAAATTTTAATTTTTTGGTGAAATATTCCTTTAATAATACTATACCATCATATTTCAATTGTTAGTTGAGACCATTGATAGAAGAACTTAATTATAATATGTATCAACAGGGCACCCAGTTCCTATAAAAGAGGTGAAAGTGTATGCAGAGGAAACGGACACATTTAATAATGGTGCATGGGTGTTGAATGTTGCATGGAGAGATGAGTTTGCTGAAAATGATGAATTCAAGAAAATCAGCTACGACATAGAGGTCCTTCGTACTGAAGAGATGAAGACAGTTCACAATGTAAGTGTGATTTTTTTACAAAAGCAATGGAAATATATGCATACACTGTAAAAAATGACCGTGAATTTAACGGCAAAAGACTGTAAAAATGCTACAGTAAAAACCTGTTAAATGTTTAACGGTAAATTCCCCTACTATATATGGTCAAAAACTGTATTGGACATTACATGTATTGGACATTAATTTTACGGTAGTATACCGTTTTTGGAAGTGAAAAAAGACCGTATAATTTACAGTGAATAACCGTAAATTGACATACCCAGAATTCCTTGCGTTACATTTCAAATTTGATGTTTTTTGTTGAAATAACTATGTTTCTTCTTAGTTTTTTCTTATCAGTTTTGTATATTCGGGTTGTGTGTTACACCTAATTAATGTTTATTGCATTATTTCAGTTTCATGTGTGTTACCATGATGGTGTTTGGTGTTTGTGTGAATGACACTGTGCACCTTCTATATATGTTATTATCTAAAAGCTGCTTGTGATGGGCTTTGGTTCATCATGTGACTTTCTCATCACCACCTGCATTTGGTGGTTATCAGTGTATTACAAAGGTGCAAAACAGATAATGAAAATACAGTATTTAACTGTAAATTTAAGTTAAAACCATAAAACCTAAAACGTTGCTACCAAATTTTTTACGGTAAAATTTCGGCAACCACAGCTGCCGGTTTTTTACCGTAAATTTTACGGATTTTTTTTACAGTGTACGGTCATTTTTTTCAATGAGAAATAACTTTTTTAGGAAACTATACATGTGATGCCAAACAAAACAACCTTTTATCATTGGAAATGGACCTCACCTATACCGTTGCAGTGCACTTCCCATTCGGTCAGACTTAGGCATCGAGATCAGCATTACATTGGTGAATGGACACCATTATATACGTACAACGGTTTGTAGCCACAGGTTGTTCTTTCACTTTATGCATGTGTTATGCAAAAGACCAGGACAACTGAACAATAACTGAACTGTTTTGCCTATAAAATAACAGGACAAGATCTAAATGCTACAACAACAACTGTCTTTCCTTATGATCAAGTTTTCATGGTTGGGAGTAACATCACGTTCTGTTGCATCATGGAGACAGATTCCAATGTTCCATTGGTTCCATTTCTAAGTCCAATCAGCAACAGGACATACATCACAGAAGAACCAGTTCACTTTGATAGGCCTTCTGAATCCACTTCAGACATACGATGTGGAGTTAAAGGAAACTCTTCAGTATTCCATACTGGCGCTTCAGTATTTATTGGCTGTAAGTCTACGCTCATCCTATTTAAAAGGAATTGTTATTTTTTTAAACCCATCAGTTTTGAAATGTTTTACTGTAAGTTAAATCTTAAGCAGCTGGACTTCATTTTCCATTTGGTGAGGATTAGTCAGAGCTTTTTAAATATTTTGCCCACATATTGGATTTTGGCCACATGTGGGAAATTCCCACCATTTTAACGATGAAGCCACTTGGATGAGTTGGCAAAAGTGTGGTATTTTCTATGGAGGCTGGAAGATAGAAAACCCCCAGTAACAATTACTGTATTCCTTGCATTCATTTATGAAAAAAATTATAACATTATATGCTTACCAGTTCATTAGTTAGAATTAGTAAACATGGAATAATACTCATAAAGCCTCGTTCAAAAGTTTGGGGTCAGATTTTTAAGTCTCTTATGCTTACCACAGCTGCAATAATTAAATCAAAAATATAGCAAAACAATAATATTGTGAAATATTATTGCAATTTAAACCTTTGATTAATGTAATGAATCCTTGCTGAATAAAAGTATTAATTAAAAAAAAAACTTTGAACTGTGTATACCAAATGTTAATTTGAGTTTAACTTCACTGGATGCTACAGATCCCCCAGATGACCAGAATCTTACATGTATAACACGGGATCTCAGCTCTGTGGAATGTCACTGGAAAAGAGGCAGAAACACCCATCTGTATGTTAAAAGAGAGACAAACTACAAACTTAATGGAAGGTATCCACATTGCTGAATATATCCGTCTTAATGTACAGTGTGAATTATGCGTGGTTGCTCTCATCATACTGAATTCAATTCTCTGATGCTAATTGTTTTGCTTTTGACAGAGATTGTAAATTTGGTCAATGTGTCCTACATGCGATGAAACCGCAGGTGACAAACTGGACCCTGATTGCCAAAAATCCCCTTGGTGTGAAGACTCTCACAGATACAGCTGACCCCACACACCGAGGTAAAACTTATTTTAATATAGTTTTATTATCTCTTAAAATACTGCATGGCCTCAACGTTTAACTGAATTTAATCTTCGGTTTTCTTCTTGCACAGTATGGATGAGAGCACCCATTAAAATATCTCATGCTGCTTATGCAAGAGAAGTCACTCTTCGGTGGAGTTGGAATGAGAAAAATTATACTTGGTTTCCAATGATTTGTCAAGTGAAGCTCAATGGAAGCATTTACAATGTTGGTGTCATCAGATTTGATCTTGCATTAAAATTGATAAGCATTCTATTTTTATCTTTCCACTGTTTGACTTACAAGGCCTGTACATGCATTCTCACAAATGCCCACACATTTTCATCTTTCACAAAGAAAACCTTCAGTGGAACGGGACTTTCGTCACTTGTCCTTGTAAATCTGCAGCCTTTTGCTAAATACACAGCTCGAGTAAGATGTGGGTCTTATGAGCACTTCTACGAATGGGGCAACTGGAGTAAAATTACTGAGTTGTCCACTAAAGAGGACGGTAAGTATTCAGAGGATTAACATATTAGAAAATAGTGTAATTAATTTATATATATATACAGTGGGGGGAAAAAAGTATTTAGTCAGCCACCAATTGCAAAAGTTCTCCCACTTAAAAAGATGAGAGGCCTGTAATTTTCATCATAGGTATACCTCAACTATGAGAGACAAAATGAGGAAAAAAAAATCCAGAAAATCACATTGTAGGATTTTTAAAGAATTTATTTGCAAATTATGGTGGAAAATAAGTATTTGGTCAATAACAAAATTTATTTTATTTTTATATATGTATATTTCTTGAGTATGATATTGCTTTTATACAACACTTTCATATATCCACCTTATTGCAAGAACTACAGGTGCTGCACTTATTCTTGTAGTTATTTACCTATAGCAGCTAATGAATCGGAAGTCCCACACATTCATAGAAAATAGCTTACTTCTGTGTTTAAAAAATCTGTTGGACAAGAAGTTAATACTGAGTAACTTACAGTGTTCACACAACTTACATTTTACTGTGTCTATTTTTTTCTCTGTTGATGTACTGTAAATAGTTTTAAGGGAAGCCATAAAAATATCAAACACTACGTTTCAGACTAACACACAGTTCTCTTTCTGAACTAATTAATGTTTCTGAACTAATCAGATGAGTAAAAATTATTCAGCAACTGCCAGTCAAATTCGAGGAATTTATTGTGACACTAATGATCTCTCTTCAGTTCCAGAAGCAGTGGATGTTTGGATTCAATATTTTGAACAAAATACATATGTCCTGTGGAAGGTAAGTGCAGTAGGATTTGGCACTGCTATTTTTAGCTTTTCTCTGCACTTTGCAGCTGCAGTCAAACAAATAAAAATGACCCTTTTTAATGTTTTAAAGCCTCTAACTCAACAACAAAGCCATGGGATAATTACAGGATATGAAATTACCATTGGAAACCCCAAAGGAAGGAGCAGAAAAATTGACATAGGACTAAATACGCAGCTGTGCTACAAAATCACCTTTGGGAATGAAACAAGTGATCAAATCATCACAGTCTCAGCGAAAAACTCTGCTGGTCTTTCTCCTCCTTCTACCATCATCGTCCCGAGTAATCCTGGTGAGCATTTAAAGTATATTCAAATGCTGTTTAAACAGGTTGAAAAGGTTGTGATTTAATTAATGATGTTTTATAATACTTTTCACAGACAATGAAGTCAGTATAAGCCATATCAATAGCAGTAATGGTGGCTTTGAAATGTCTTGGGAAGAATACCCCTATTCTACTTGTGGCTATGTTGTTGAATGGTTTCCAACCTACAATAAGAAGCAATGTGATGTAGAATGGGAGAAGATCCGTTTGGGATGATCAGAACCCTTCCTAGAGCTGGCCGTCCGGCCAAACTGAGCTCTCGGGGGGGAAGAGCCTTGGTGAGAGAGGTAAAGAAGAACCCAAAGATCACTGTGGCTGAGCTCCAGAGATGCAGTTGGGAGATGGGAGAAAGTTGTAGAAAGTCAACCATCTCTGCAGCCCTCCACCAGTCGGGGCTTTATGGCAGAGTGGCCCGACGGAAGCCTCTCCTCAGTGCAAGACACATGAAAGCCCGCATGGCGTTTGCTAAAAAAACACCTGAATAAGATTCTCTGGTCTGATGAGACCAAGATATAACTTTTTGGCCTTAATTCTAAGCGGTATGTGTGGAGAAAACCAGGCACTGCTCATCACCTGTCCAATACAGTCCCAACAGTGAAGCATGGTGGTGGCAGCATCATGCTGTGGGGGTGTTTTTCAGCTGCAGGGACAGGATGACTGGTTGCAATCGAGGGAAAGATGAATGCGGCCAAGTACAGGGATATCCTGGACGAAAACCTTCTCCAGAGTGCTCAGGACCTCAGACTGGGCCGAAGGTTTACCTTCCCACAAGACAATGACCCTAAGCACACAGCTAAAATAATGAAGGAGTGGCTTTACAACAACTCTGTGACTGTTCTTGAATGGCCCAGCCAGAGCCCTGACTTAAACCCAATTGAGCATCTCTGGAGAGACCTAAAAATGGCTGTCCATCAACGTTTACCATCCAACCTGACAGACCTGGAGAGGATCTGCAAGGAGGAATGGCAGAGGATTCCCAAATCCAGGTGTGAAAAACTTGTTGCATCTTTCCCAATAAGACTCATGGCTGTATTAGATCAAAAGGGTGCTTCTACTAAATACTGAGCAAAGGGTCTGAATACTTAGGACCATGTGATATTTCAGTTTTTCTTTTTTAATAAATCTGCAAAAATGTCAACAATTCTGTGTTTTTCTGTCAATATGGTGTGCTGTGTGTACATTAAGGAGGAAAAAAAATGACCTTAAATGATTTTAGCAAATGGCTGCAATATAACAAAGAGTGAAAAATTTAAGGGGGTCTGAATACTTTCCGTACCCACTGTATATATATATATGTATATATATATTTTATTTTTATATATGTATATTTCTTGAGTATGATATTGCTTTTATACAACACTTTCATATATCCACCTTATTGCAAGAACTACAGGTGCTGCACTTATTCTTGTAGTTATTTACCTATAGCAGCTAATGAATCGGAAGTCCCACACATTCATAGAAAATAGCTTACTTCTGTGTTTAAAAAATCTGTTGGACAAGAAGTTAATACTGAGTAACTTACAGTGTTCACACAACTTACATTTTACTGTGTCTATTTTTTTCTCTGTTGATGTACTGTAAATAGTTTTAAGGGAAGCCATAAAAATATCAAACACTACGTTTCAGACTAACACACAGTTCTCTTTCTGAACTAATTAATGTTTCTGAACTAATCAGATGAGTAAAAATTATTCAGCAACTGCCAGTCAAATTCGAGGAATTTATTGTGACACTAATGATCTCTCTTCAGTTCCAGAAGCAGTGGATGTTTGGATTCAATATTTTGAACAAAATACATATGTCCTGTGGAAGGTAAGTGCAGTAGGATTTGGCACTGCTATTTTTAGCTTTTCTCTGCACTTTGCAGCTGCAGTCAAACAAATAAAAATGACCCTTTTTAATGTTTTAAAGCCTCTAACTCAACAACAAAGCCATGGGATAATTACAGGATATGAAATTACCATTGGAAACCCCAAAGGAAGGAGCAGAAAAATTGACATAGGACTAAATACGCAGCTGTGCTACAAAATCACCTTTGGGAATGAAACAAGTGATCAAATCATCACAGTCTCAGCGAAAAACTCTGCTGGTCTTTCTCCTCCTTCTACCATCATCGTCCCGAGTAATCCTGGTGAGCATTTAAAGTATATTCAAATGCTGTTTAAACAGGTTGAAAAGGTTGTGATTTAATTAATGATGTTTTATAATACTTTTCACAGACAATGAAGTCAGTATAAGCCATATCAATAGCAGTAATGGTGGCTTTGAAATGTCTTGGGAAGAATACCCCTATTCTACTTGTGGCTATGTTGTTGAATGGTTTCCAACCTACAATAAGAAGCAATGTGATGTAGAATGGGAGAAGATCTCAGAATGTGACAGTGACGCCTGTGACACCTGGAATCGGTCTGGTCAGTTGGGAGCTTAAAGATGAATCATTTGACTCACTTCTGATCTGTTTTTGTTCTGATATTGAATTTGTGCATGTGTGTAATGGTCCATCAGTGGTTCAGTGAGCTGTGGTTATGTTCAGAAAGGGAGGATGACTGCTATTTTGAACAAAATATTTCAATTGTTCTATTTCTCACAGGTATTTTTGAGGCAGTGAGATACACTGTCTCGGTCTATGCCTGCACTAATGATGCACCAAAGCTTCTCAAGAGGAGTCAGTGTTATGCTATTGAGCAACGTAAGCAGTCAAGATTCAATATTTAAAGGAATAGCTCACAAAAAAAAAAAAAGAACATTTGTTTCATGTTAACCTCACCTCGTCTTTCTTATTGTCCATTCTGCTATTTCTGTTCACAGAACCAGGGAAAGTTCAGAATCTGACAGTTAAAAGCAATGGAAGAAATCTTGAGCTTTCCTGGGACGAAGTGCCCTTAGACCTGCAAAAAGGCTTCATACAAGGCTACAATGTCACAACATTGCTTTCTGATTCTGAAACCGTTATTAACACAATAGTGACAAAGGGTGGGTTCATTCTCTAATTTGACGTCCACTGTTTTTTCTTAGTGTAAAAATTACATTACAAATGGACATACTTTGTGTTTTAATTTTAGAGCATAAAGTTAATTTGAAATTAGATCCAGGCTCCTATACCTTCCGCGTTAGTGCCTTTACATCTGGAGGTGAGGGTGAAGGTGACTACACTACATTCAGAATGGACGTGGAAAAAAACTGTATGTATGAAGATATTTAATTATATATTTTGTATATAATTATAATATTAAATATAATGAATTATAATTGAAAGATTAATGATTGAACTACTTTATTATATTTAATAAACAAATATAAATAGCATTGATGAATATAGCATTGCACACAATGATAATATTGTGTGCAATGTGACAACATTTTCATAGTTGACCAGATGATTGCGGCCACTATTGTGGGTTGCAGTGCAGCAGCACTTGTCTTCATTATCATCACAGTCCTTTGCTACAGGAAATGGAAATGGTAAGGACAATTTTCCTGTGTTATGTCTGAAAAACATATATGTTTTTCAAACCCCAATATTTTCTATAAATTTTCACTCTTAAAATCCTTCAGGTTAAAGAAACTATTGTATCCAGATATTCCTGAACCAAAACTTGCAGGGAAATGGATTACAAAGGTGAGTCATCAGTGCTTATTCAGCCTCCTTATCATTTCTAACATTCCTAAAATATGTTTTTTTTAAGTAAGTATAATTTGCATGTAAGTATGTGTGTGTGTCACAAGCCAAAAATGGGTCGCAGGTGTGTTCTCATCGTCTCTCAGACAAGTGGGAATCAACTATGTTAAATCCTAACAGTAAAATGCAACAAACCATATACTTGGTCATAGTAAACATAGCAAAATAAATATGGTTATCAATTTTAAAAGAGAAGGGAAATATTTACCAAATATTTTTGTAGTTGACATTAAAGGATGTGTGCATATTAATCTGTCACTTGATAAAATGATCCAATTAGGCAGATTCCAATATGGAAAAGTTGCATGGCATGCTCAAAAGCTATGCAAGATCAAATAAGTTATGACTTATTTTGTGTGGTAAATTATTGGCTTAATAAATTGGCTAAATAATATTTTGCTACAGTGTTAGCAAATTGTATAATCTGTGACAAACCAGTTAACTGGTCAACAAATGTTTGTTGTTTGCAGGGCATTTATTGTACCCAGATGACCGAGGGGTATATGAAGTGTGAGATTCAAGAGGTCCACAGTTTAGAGCATCCTGCGACGTCAGAAAGTCTACATGGCCTTGACCTCATCAGCTCTAACTCCAAAGTGATTCCTGGACATTTCTACCTGAACATTTCTGAATCTCCAGTTGATGTCTCATATTATCCTGTTGAGAAGCTTACCTCAATTCTTGAAAACCCTTCTTATAATTTGACCATGCCAGAACCAGTTGATGTTGCTCAGATGTCTGATCTTACACTGGAAATGCAGGATGCTTACCTCCCAGCCCCTAACTTTGTTCAGAATAATCTTGTTGTTAAAGACTCGGAGAGCTACAAGCCCCAATCAGCATGTCGTACAAATGTATAGGTCCCCTAGATGGACCAGTGTCGTGCTATGTAACACACACCATGTATATGCCAATTACACCAAATTGTAAACGCCAGTGAATTCATCTTATATATATAAATGTATTCTTTTTTTCAACACTCCCAACTCTTGTAAAATGAGTAGTAAAAATGCTTTTTTTTAAATACTGTGATGGGGGAAAAAAAGCTGTGAACTTCTTTAGAACTGCCTCTGTATATCTGCATTGTATTTCGCTATAATATTTATTTGCATTTATCTATTTGGCACATACTCTCAACATGTGTGACCCCCGTGAATCCAACCCATGACCTTGATGTTGCTAGCATTATGCTTCAGTAGTGCAATAGTTCCCTCTTGTGGCCTAATTAAAGACTTCGATGGAATATAATGACTTTGAGGAAAAAAATGTCAAACGTATACATAATTACATATCTAGATGTTTTGATCGCTGTCTTATTAATGAACGAGAGATTGTACCTAAATACAAATTCAGTTTATGCTTAAAGACATTAAAATTGTGGTTTACACGTATTCACATCATGTACGAATTCATTCAATTAATTGTACACTTTCCAGCAAACAAAATATTTGATTTTGATTCCAAGATAAACTGAAGTAGGCTAATCACAAAATAAATGTCGGTTAGTTTCATACAAAACTTCACAAAAAGGGTCGTATGTGTCAACGTAATATTCAAATTTCAAAGAATGCTTGACATGGTAAAATATATCAATTGAATGAGAAATCCTTAAACTGATGCTCCTAAAAATCACTTTTATGGGCGTGAAGGGTTGCCTAAGGGCGTTGCAACAATGAAATGCTTTCCTTTTGATTGACAGGCAGAACAGTCAATAGAACATCAACATCTACACGAGTTGACCAATGTAAACAGTTGTGGGCGGGAGTTTTAAATTCCCGGTCATTGAGCCGCTGTTTTCAGTTGTTCGAGGCGAGCTCACTCAGTAGCGACCAGTTTACTGAACATGCTTTTGATAAATTGACATAGAATAGCTTTTAATCTGTTTTTGTTAGTAATTTCTTCGACGCTTTAAATGTAGAGTTTTAATCGAACAGCTCGTGCCTGCCCAACACATTTCCACCAATAACTGGTATGTTGCTAGCGTGCTAGTTGTGTATGGTCTGAGATTCATCTATCATAACAGTAACTTGCGCACATTTCTCATCCTCTGTATTCCCATCTTCCTCTGTAGCCTTCAAAACCACGATGTGTGATATCTTTATTATTCATGCGATTTATTTTATAGTGTTATTGTGTGACTAGCGTTGGCAGTCTTTTGGCACATCTTCAAGGTTAGCAAGTTCTTCATCAGTTTTTAGCTGACATGCCGAGAAGAACTTGTGTTGCATACTGATTCGTGAATAAACGAGGTTACAACCTCTATTTATCTAAGATACAAAGAAATTCAGTGAAGTGTAAATCAGTCTCATTCATTGAAATGGTTCATGACCCAAATCCTGCCTGTGAAGAAGCTGACTTTTGTAATGGACATCACAGCTCGGTGTGTGTTAGACATGAACAACATAAAGCAATCACTGCAAACCTTCAGAATGAAAACTGTCTGGTTAAAATGACTGTTTTGATCTGATAACGATATGATTGTTCTCTATATATGAGCTGTGTTATGATACAAAGTATGTCTGTATATTTCTATATACAGTAGTTGTCTATTTGTCTGTCTATGTGTAACATGGCTGTGATCAAGAAATGCTGATTACAGCATGAACTGCAATGACTCTGTTATTGAACCCTGTGCAATGATCCCTTCAGGCTGTCAGTGGCAAGCAATGGAGGTTGGCAAAGTTGTGCAGGAAGAAATGAAATTTCGGGGTGCTGAATTTGCCGTCAAGGTCGAGCTGGCGGAGAGGTTACTAATCGTAGAGATGTCAGATGTGGTTACAGCGGACCAGTGGAGAGGAGAGTTCGATCCAGCCTGTAAGTTGAGCTTCTAAAACTGATATTTAGTTTTTGCTTACATGAAATGTTGTTTTATGTCATTACAACCTTTTTTTTTTATTATCATTAGATATTGAGGACCTGACCCGGAAAACTGGGAATTTTAAACAGTTTCCAGTATTCTGCAGTATGCTTGAGTCTGCTGTCAACATGGTGGGTCCAAAGAATAAAAGCCATAAAAATCCTATTTACTATGGCGTCTTGATTCTTAAAGCTGGTCAAGACAATAAATGCACTATGGCTGGACATTTTGTGATTTATTTTCTTATTTATTTTTAAATCCAGGCTTTTTTTTGTACTACTTTGTGCAGCTGCATAATTTGCACAATTTGCCTTGCTATTATACATCAATATAACTATAAAATATTAAGAATAATTATTGTTGTTTTTTTATTCTTCTTCTTATTATTCCTATATTGAAAAATTACTGTTGTAATATTTCTCTGTACAATGAAAGCAATACTATTTAGGAAAAATTATTATTTTTTACAGCTGTAAAATTCCAGTACTAAAATCTAATTTAACTGTCTTAATTTCTTCATTTTCAGACAAAGAAAAGCTTCTCTTTTGTTGACAACAGTTGGTTTATAAGCGCATCTCAAGTTCTCATTACAAGTTTGGGAGTAGCGTTGTTGTGTTCTCAAATGTACGTTATGAGGGCCTGTTTACACCTGGTCACTTCATGTGTGTTTACTAATCGTATAGCTGTGTGATTTGTTAAAACTTATACATTTACACTTGGCCACATAAATGTGTCTCCGCGAAAAGGATATAAATCCAATTTAAAGTTCCTGTACTATATGCAAATTAACAGTTCACGACAACGAAAGCAACAGATATGCACTGCATTTTATTTATCTTTATTTATATTTGTCTTTATTTCGTTTTATTTTAAAGTTAATTTGCTGTTTTAATTTTATTTTGATTAATTTGGCTTATGCAGCACTTGATTTATTGACAATAAAAAAAAGTCTACAAAGTGATTAACCAGACTTATGTTAATAATCACATTTAAAAAAAGAAAAAAAAATCTTATTTACTCCCTTAATTTTCTTTTGCAGTCCAGTGAATCGGTGACCCTTGACCTCTTGACCTATTCTGACCTCGAGCTTCTGCGGAACAGAAAGGCAGGTGTAGTTGGCCGACCTCGTGCTCAGCCACAGTCTCCTGCCCTCAGTGCTAAACGATACCTCATCCTCATCTACACTGTGGAGTTTGACAGGTCTGTGTAGTTTTGATCACTCAGTCTGTTTTAATCTGCTCTTAATAGGCCAGTTTTTAAAAAGTTCTATTTTTGTAGGATACACTATCCTCTTCCACTTCCACATCTTGGAAAACCTGATCCTGCAGAGCTTCAAAGAGAGATCCGAGCTCTGAGGGCCGAGCTGAAAACACTGAGACTGCGAGGAGGCCACAAAGTATCAGACCAGGAAACACGCAAGCTCCGTGCAGAGTCAGTTATTTTCTAATGAAATATGTATTTAGTGTTTTTATCATGCTTTCGGGGGGGGGGGAGCACACACACCTTTTGCACACCTGGTTAGTTGCTGGCAGGTGCACAAGGGCACAGTCAGCACAATAGAAGAAAGAAAAATCCTGTACATTGCTGTAGCTTGAAAAATCTTTATTAGATAACAGTGTATCTGTCAAAGGCCTCAAAGTGATAGTTCACTCAAAAATAAAATTGTCATAATTTCTCGTTTCATTCCTGTAGGACTGACTTTCTTCTGTGTAACAAAGTTAAGTATTTTAAAGAGCATTGGTAACCAAACCATTTTGGGTTACCTTTGACTTTAATTGTTTGGACAAAAAAAAAGTCTCAATTTTATTTTGTGTTCCACAGTTGTTGTTTTTGTAAAGTAACAAAAACATTTTACCCACAGTGAGTAAAAAGAGAATGTTGTGTTTTCAAGTCTTTTACCTTCTGTTTAATGTCCCCTTCATCAGGTTGGCTTTGGTGAGGGATGAAAAGGAAGCCTTGGCCAAGGCTCTGGATCGTCAACAGATGGTAGGGGCTGGTTCTGCTCCTGGGCCCCGTGGGCTCAGAGAGGCAGTGCACAGCCTGGAGGAACAGCTGCTGAAGGAAAGGGCAAAAAGCCAGCGCTCTGCAAGCAAGAGGAGCCAGGAACAGCTCCTCGTTCTGGAACAGGTGACTCTAAGCAGATTAGTGTTGTATGGTCATGAGATGACAAGCTGACAATGTAAAACACTCATGCATAGTATTAGCACCCACTTAAATGTTGAAATTCACTCTTGTTGGTAGCTGGAGGAACTCAGGGCATCAGAACGGGCTCTACGGATACGTGTTAAAAGTCTGACCACTGAGCTGGCCTTGTTACGACGCGGGTAAGCTTAATTAATTGCCATCTGTGTCTTTTTTTTGCATTTATTAACATTTTTGGAGCACATGTTAATCAACTCATTCTTCCTATTTTGACAGTCGAGCAACTCCAGTCATGTCTGGCCGAAGCGGGCTTAGAGGTGATGGGGAGGTTCATCGGTCTTTATCCAGAGAGCGCAGTTTGACCCGTGTGGGGGTAAGAGCACGCTCTGGGTCGAGGGAGAGGATGGAGGACAGGGCTCGGAGGTCAGAGGAGAGAATTAGGAGGCCCTCTTCAGGGTCTCGGAATTACATCACGAGACCCTCGCCATCTCCAACAGGTGAAATGTGTGAAGATGAACACAATATCTTTATGGTCAAAGTCAAGAAACAAAGGCAGAAGCCCTGTTTATAGACTTTTGATTTGATTCAAGTCTTGTTCTCTCATGATAGGGTCACGAGTGCATCGGTTTGACCCTACGGCCTACATTCAAGACCGACAACGACGCCAAAAAGAGGCTGAGATGAAGAAGTAAGACACTTTCACCCTTTCAGTTTGAAGTTTTTATTATCTTTTCTGTTGCATTTCTGCTGTTTAGTGTTTTATTTGTTGTCTTTTTCCTACAAGCATCGCCCTGTCTGTGTGCAGTAATACAGTTTACTTTGAAAAGTGTGAACTAGATGCTTTCCTTGTCCCTTGCATGAATTAGTTTTCTCAAATGTTGATCCTCAGTCATGGATATGGTACATCAGTGTAAGAAAAAAAAGTGTATGCCTTTTGGCATCAGGCTGATAAAAGAATGAGAGTCTTATGTCTGTTTGACAAGTTATAATCTGGTAGAATTTATTTGTAGGCAGCTGCACCTAGGGCTGGGTACCGAAACCCAGTACCAATATGGCACCGGTACCTATGTAAACGGTATGTACTAGAACCAAATCAGAACGCAGATTTCGGTGCCTCATTTCGGTGCCATGCCTGAGCGATCGATTTAAATATTTGTCCTCTGGTTCTCCGAAACGGATGTAAGAAGCATCCAGCACCGCACGTGAAAAATTATTTCCCGACTGAGAAAATGCACGTGAACTCAAGTCGGAAAGCTCTATTAATACAAATCCAACAAATCTTTGTAGTAACGTGAGTGTCCATGTTGTTTTCACATTCCGACTTAAAAGCACAACTCTGGAAATGAGAGCATCCGAGGAGCGCGTGAATGCAGTAATTACACTTGCTCTAATGGCAGCAGGTAGCCTTCCGTTAACTAAAGCCTGGCTCACACTACAGGATTTTTAGCCCGATTTAGCCCCGATTTCCCCCTCCTGAGAATCGGAGCAAAAATCTTGTCGAGCCCCTCGATCGGTCCCGATGTTCGGTGCGGATTATCTGGTAATGTGGGGCGTTCACAGATCGAATCTTGCACCTCCCGATCTGCTCGCACACAAATCGGGGCCGCCCCGATATCAATATCATAACAATATCATGTTTGATATTTAGGATTGAAATCGGGATGATGACGGCTGTATGATTACGTCAGTACTTTCACAATAGCCAATGCGACTGCAAAACAGCTGCTGTACGGCTCCATTGGATAGTCGAGACGGAGGAAACTACTTCTTGATGTTTTGTAGTAACACGTCTGTATAATGTGTCGAAAACGTATCACAACAGCAAGGAGAAAGAGAAGCGCTGGAGTGAAATCGCCTCCATTCTGAACGTGTACAGGGGTGGCAGGGGGAATCACGAGCAGGAGGTCTGGGGGCTTTACTCAAGTTAAAACACTTTTATCATCCTCATGAATGTATGCTGGTTTACCTAATGGCTGCGACACACACCAGTTTTTGTTCTGTGCTGATCACAATCAAATCCTTTCATTATAACATACAGAGTGTTTACATGACGATGTTCATAATATATTAATTGCACAGTGTGAGATTCATTGGTCATAACAGAACATTGTGAGATCACGATGAACTAAGAGTGACAGTTTTTAGTGGTTAAAAAAGGAGTGCTCTTTGCGAGCTTTAGGCAATAATCCATTTAAAATGTAGAACTTTGTTTTT